GCATGCAAATAGGCTGACCACAAATTGCCATCCGTGCAACCGCAGGCAAATTGTGATTCTAGGAGCAAGGTTCTAATTTGCAACCCCCACCTCCTGTCTTTTTGAGACTGAATCTTGATCCAAAGCCTCGTATGTGGTATGTAGCATGGAACTTTCTATTTACCTCTGTTGGCCTCAAACTCAAAATCCCCCTATCTCAGACTTCAGAAATACCAGAATTACAGGCATTTTGATCCCATGTTCTGTGCTTTATTGACCCACAGATTTTTGCTTGGTCTTCTGCTTCAATTGAAGAAGTAAAATCTAATCCCAGAATGGAAGGTTTGAGCCACAAGAATGTTTTCATTGGATAGCAGGGCCTTCTTAAATAGCTTTATTATCTAGTTTGAATTATCATAATTCACTGAAAGTTAGAGAGTTCACATTTAATTTAGTCCTTCAAATACCTTTGAATTTGATACAAGTAACTGAATGTTTTGGTCTAGGATAATGTACCAGCTTTGTTGTTTGCTATTTATATGATAGAGTTACGATGAAGATGTGAATTTTATGCATCATAAATATTTCAGCATGTGTTTTTAAAAGATCTGGGCTGAGTGTCTGCTATTAGTAGCTTTTCTGATGTAAAGTCTTAACTTGTCTTGAACTCTCTAAGAGCCTCATGGCTTAGTCTCTTAAGGCTGGGGGTGCAGGAGTGCACCATGAGACATTCTCTGTTCATTTATTAAACCTAATTATGTCATCATCAAAGACATCTGAAAATTTAACAGTGATTCTAAAAATACTGAAATATAATTAGCTTTCAGATTGTGTCCTGGTGCCTCAAAGATATTTTCATGAGAATAAATAAATGTTTATTGCACTTATCTTGCTTAAAATTCTGTTCTATGACCTTATTGATAGGTATGTTGTTTAGCAGTGGGAATTTGAAAGCCTTCAGATGTTAATGTTAGTGATGTGAAGATACACTTAAAATGCAGATGTAAAAGCAGTAAGCACAGGGGAGCTAGATCTGTGCATGAGATTGGTCTGTGTGCTTAGAGACCCCATGCTTGAAGCATAGGAAAGTGTTCATATCCAAATGAGTGACCGGCTAATTGTGGCATGGGGAGAAGAGTTATTCCCTTAAATAAACTCTTGTGTGATTGAGTTACTGTTTATCCCTAGTATGTGGTGGCAGTCATAGGTTAGAAGCCAAGATTTGCTTTTGCTTAAGTGTTTTAAATATGTAAACTGTAAAGTCACAGCCCCATTACCTTAGCTGAACTACTGAATCTTGATGGGCTCCTTGGGAAATCATACCCACTTGTGGTTAAAAATCAGCAACTTGTACAACGGTTCACTTTTCCTAGTGCTTTGTTTGTTTAATAACCACCATCAATAGAAAAGAAAACAGACAACCTTCTGTACAAAAGACAATTTATTCCTCTCAGGAAACCACAGTGGATGCTGGGGCAGGAAAGTGAGCTGTGCTTCTGTATCACCTACCTCTGCAACCTTGATTTCCACTCCTTCTCTCCCTCTGCTGCTTAATGAACTCCACTGTTTCCACCCTGGTTGGCAGTTATTTAACAGTCCTGTGTTCTCCACATCCACCTTCCTATCCCCCACTCACACACTTGAGAGGATTGTCGAATGGGAACTTCCACAATGAGGATGTTGGGATTCTTTCCTGGGAAGGGAAAGCTCTTTGTAAAATGTGTTGTTTTAAAGTTAGCAAAACATGTCCTTTTGTTCCGTAAGCTCTTGGTTTGTTTTTCCTGAGACATGAGTATCTAGTGCAGCTGGGATGCTCAGTGTCTGTTAGGTTGGTATCACCCTGAGGTATGAAACAATGACACCTGGCTTCAGTTGCTATTGGTATACAAATGACTGAAATACAGAATAAAAAGAAAGATTTACTTCTAATTGAGTGATATGGGCAAAACTCCAGGAGGTGGCATTTTGCTAGGAGATTGAAGGATGGGTAATATTTGACAATAGGGGGATGACTAGTGGCTATTCCAGATGGAGAGGACACTGTGCACAGAGGAAGAGAAGAGCGTGCAGGACAAGTAGACAGCAGATGACTAATTCTGGCTGAAGCCTGGTGTGCCAAGAGGTACTGAGAAGGAAAGGAAGACGGGAAGGATTGTGCTAGGTATTGTCAAGGGCTTTTTTTCCTGTTTTATCTAAAGGTCATACATATAATCTTGATATGCTATAAGTGGTCTTATTTCAGATAATCTCTTCATAGTTGAAGAGTCTTATATTATTTTCTAAAATGAGATTGTCTGGGAAGTAGAACAGTGGTCATGGTTAACCCTTATATAATCTCTTTTGGTATATTTTACAAGGTCTCATAAAATAAGATACTTTTTTTCTATATTTTTCAGTACCATTGAACATGTAACAATAGGGAAAAAAGCTCTCTTTTCTCTAATGCTGGCTCCTTAGACTTAGTTAGTAACTGATTTAAGTCAATTTCCTCGTGTCAAATGGAAATTTAGCTTTGTCCTTGGGGTACTATGAAGATTGAATAATGCACGTAAACACCTGGCCTAGTGTTAGTGCCATAATAATCTCAGAGATAATAAACAAGTACTTTAGCTGCAATACCATTTTTTTTCAATACCATTTTTAAGTTGCTGGTAATAGTTTAAGAGGAAAACAAAAACTCATGGCAGGAAAAATGTAATCTACTTTAGAGAGAGAGAGAGAGAGAGAGAGAACGCACTCAGAAGATAACTCTGAAATACAAATAATTAAGCGGCTTGGCATATACTTACATGTTTAAGCTAGATGACAGCAATAGAAGGATGATCATTGGGCCTGTATTTATTTGTTATACAATTGAGAAGAAAATAGTTATTAGGAGAGAATATTTATTTCATGATAATTTAGGTTACAGAGACTATATTCATAAGGGAAGAGAATGACTTAATATTAAATTACATTTCTTGTTAACTCTTGCTGGCTGTGGTCATTGAACCTAATGATGATTGCTGCTGACACTAATACATCAGTAATTCCTGCATTCCTATGTCAGCAATAGTATTTTAAATTCACATAGCATGTAGCCTGTGGGACTCTGTAGGGCAGTCTGACCTGGAAACCACATTTTCTGCCATAGGAAATTGAACAATTGTTTTTACCATCTGCTTTTGTGTATGTAGTATAAAAACTTAAAAAAAAAATCCTCTCCTTGCTAGGGTTAGGTAAGTGCTCTGCCTTTGAGATCAACCCCCAGCCCCACCCATGGTACTCTGAATGAGGAAGTGTAGTGTTTAAGGAAGGCAGCTCTGGTTCCTTTAGAAAATAGAATTCAGATTTTGTTGTAAAATTTTATATTTGAATTGACCATTAGATGTAAGTTCTGTAAACACATGGAACATTATAATGCTAGGACAGCTAGGCATGTAGAGTAAGACACGATTCCCCCATCATGCTACAATTCTTCCCCACTTCAGTTTCATACTGGTTACAGGAAGGCCCACACTTAATAATGAGCATATTAGAGAATGTGATGTTGTTAATTGAGTCATTTAGCCTTCGTGCTGCCAGGTAGCTGAGCACAAGTCACCGGCTGGCCAGAGTGAGATTACAGGAAAGAAGTTTGAGTAGATAGCATGGTGAGAGGCAGATAGGGAAGTGAACTACTTTGTGGAACTTTGGGGAAGAGCTTTAAAATAAGAGTCTGGAATGCAAGGAATTGGCAAGGAATCTTGGGTAAGATGTAGGTTGAGAAGAGCCTGTGTCAGCAGAGAAGATAGACAGGAAATGAGAGGTCAGAGCAATCTGCTTACTTGCTTTCCTAGAGCAGCATACAGGAGCTCTGCCAAGGGTTCTGTGTTTGTGGTGTGGACAGAGGAGAGGGAAGAGGCTAAGTGTGATGAGGACAGGGAAACACATGACCTACCAGTCTACCTACTGTGAGCCAAGGACAGGAAACAAGGGCAGTGGGTTAAGTTTGAATTTCACACTTCAGAATGTGTTATTTGAAATTCTTTGGAATACTAGACGTGCTTTATTTTTCTTTGATTCTTTGTTATATCTTAAATGTGTATCTACTAAGTGCTAGGAAGGTTTTTCCTTTAAACCTCCAGGATATTTTTGTTGTCTTTTATTTCACCAGTAGACTAACCATAGTAGCCTGCTCTAGGGAAATCATTGTCTGACTTGAGTTCATTAGCAAGTTTGCCTCAGCTTAGAGCAAAGGAAGTGAGAGAAAGTCAGAAAACACTGCCCCACCACCATGCTAAACTTTGTGGTGAAGCAGTGACTTACAGCATTTACCCGTTTAGTCAGCTTCTGTGTTCAGGCACTATTCTAAATGTCAAGGATAAAAGGTGAGTAAAGCAGGCTATCAACAAGAAGACAGACTCATTAGATGGTTGGAATTATGTAACTCCAGTAAGAAAGTTCTTCTACTAGGTGAACAAAATACCTAATGTAATACACTAGTGTTAGGAGAGAACACCTCTATCAAACATGGAGATACTGAATGGTGCCCCAGAGAGCCTTCATCCCTATGTTACAGCATCCTTGATACAGAAAGGCATTCTGCACATTATCAAGAGTGATGTAAACACAAAGCCAGCCACAAAACCTTTGTCCACAGTGGTGTCCAGCCTGTAAGATATGCTAGGGTAATGGTGGCACAAAGCTTGCAGGAGTAACCCACAAACGACTGATTTGACTCGAGGCTCACTTCACGAGGTGAGCCCAGACCTGACACAGCTTGAGTGGTCAAGAACCAAAGACTAGATAGCCCAGGGACATAGGGAAAAAAACAAGTATTGCTGGTCTAAAAACAGAGAGAGAGAGAAGAGAAAATAGATAGATAGATAGATAGATAGATAGATAGATAGATAGATAGATGATAGATTGATAGATAGATAGATAGATAGATAGATAGATAGATAGATAGATGGGGGAAAGTATCACATTTTGAAATTTTGTCTCAAATCTGGCTTTATAACTAAATAGATTCTAATGTTTTCAATTATTATTTTTAACAGCATCTGCAGAAAAGGAGGCTATTAAAGGCACATATGCCAAAGTACTGGATGCATATGGACTTTTGGGAGTTTTACGATTAAATCTTGGTAAGTCTTTTAATCAGTGTGGTTCATCTACTTTTTCTTTTTTTATAGTTCTGAAGATGAGAAAGGCTACCTTTTAAACATTCATTAAGATAATCTTTTTAAATATTTTTATTAACTAAGAATTTCAGGGAGTGTATTTTGATCATATTCAACCCACCAACTCCTTCCAGATCTATCCCTCCATTCTTATCCAACAAACTAACTAACTAACTCTCTATCTATCTATCTATCTATCTATCTATCTATCTCTATCTCTCTCTCTCTGTCCCTCCCTCCCCCATTCCTCTCTCAAGCCTATTCATTGGTCAACCACTCTTGGCTGTGGGGTCTATTCCTGGTGTGTGATCAGTACATCAGAGATCACACCATTAAAGAAAACAGACTGCCTTTCCTGGCAGCTCTCTGACTAAGTGGTTAAGAGCACTTGGTCCACTTGCAAAGGACCCAGGTTTGCTTCCCAGAACCCATATAGTAGCTCACAACCATATATAACTTCAGGGTTACATGTGGTGCACATAGATACAACCAGAGAAAATGCTCCTACACAGACAATAAAAATAATTAGGCTAATCTTATATGTTTCTTTTCTATATAGATTTGCAACAGTTTTAGGATCCCAAGACAGTGTTCAGCTGAAATACATCAGCAGAAAATGAAAGCATTATCTTTCTTCTTTTCAATATAGTAAGGAATATGTGTCTGTGTGGAAACACACTGGAGTCCCCTAGTATATTGTGGGGAAGACATCTATTTTAGATTCAGAAATGTCTGCTATTTAATGTTCTTTTTAAACTTAAAATCATTTATTTTTATATGTATGAGTGTTTGATGCACAGCATCCATGTCTGTAAAAGATGCACAGATAGCCTACTGAACTAAGAACAGAGTGTCAGATCCCCCAGGACTAGAGTTCAGACAGTTAGTTGAAAGCCACCATGTGGGTGATGGGAATTGAACTTGGGTCCTCTGGAAGAGCAGGACTCTTAACCACTGAGCAATCTCTTCAGCCCTGACTTAATGTTGCCATTAAGATTTAATGGTCTTCAGGGTAACTTTCATGATTAGCAGTTTGTATGACTTGAAGTGTAGTTTGGAGACTGGCCCTCGTCCATGGTTTTAATGGCCTGTGTGGGACAATAAGCTTGCGTTATCATGCATTTGCAACATGTGGTTTTCTTCTTTGATGAAGTCTAACTATGAATACTTTTGTAAAGTAAATAAAGTGTGGATTTAGTTATACAGTAGGTTTTCATTATGACTCAGGTACTTATTGTGTGCTGCCAAGAGTTGATGGACTCTGCTTTGAGCAGCATTGGCCTATCGAGTGGAAATTTACCCTTGTTACTAATCTGTCATATGCAAAAGACTGTGCTGGATTGTGTACTGTTCTCAAGTAATCATGAAATAAATGTTTTAGTCCTATTTCATAGGGGATTATATTACAGGTTGGTCGTGCTAGCACACTCAATTTAGTCTGGATGGTAAGTAAAGAGCCATGATTTAGAGCTATTTCTGCCTGTGCCAGTGCCTTTGTTGCTAACTCTTAATTTCATAAGACTTTTGTTGCCATTACATGAAAAATTTAAAAATTCTGGTATTCAGGAGTTAGGGCCACAGAATGAACCCCAGTATCATCCCTTTTGCACAAAAAACAGAAAGAAAACAAAACCACACAAAGTCTGAAAGTTTTTATGAACCATATTGCTTAATAAATTGTCACCAAGGCCTTGTTCCTATGTTCTGTTGTCTTCAGCTCACTGACTTACATGCCATTTTTAAACATAACCATTTACAAGCAACTTGAACATTCACTATCTTATCTGAACTTCCTGTCTATCAGTAAGGTAGTGAAAGCAACTTTTTTTTTTATAAATTTTATAGCCTTAGATTAAATATAGAAATGACTTTGTAAATGTGACACCATCTCATTAATGTTTTAGTGCTTCATATACTGAATGTATTTAAACAAGAATTTTTCCCCTTTAAAAAAAATTTAGACATATTGACGAATAATCAGAATGACCAGGCATGGTGGTACTCACCTCTCATCCCTGTGTGTGGTAGGCTGAAGCCAGAGGATTAGGAGTTCTAAGACAGTTTATGCAGTATAGAAAGACTGTCTCAAAAAAAGAAACAAAAAAATTACAATAAAAGATTTCAAAGATAGAAACACAAGAAGAAGTCAGAAGAAACTATGTAACTTGAAGCTATAAGCTTGAAAACATTGGTGTTTTATCCAGTAAAATCTTTGCTTTTTTCAGGTGATACCATGTTGCATTATCTGGTCCTAGTCACTGGATGCATGTCTGTTGGGAAAATTCAAGAATCTGAAGTTTTCCGAGTTACTTCCACTGAGTTTATATCACTTCGAGTTGATGTTTCAGATGAGGACCGCATTTCAGAAGTACGGAAAGTTTTGAACTCAGGAAACTTTTATTTTGCATGGTCTGCATCTGGAGTCAGCTTAGATCTGAGTCTGAATGCACATCGAAGCATGCAAGAGCACACAACTGACAATAGATTTTTCTGGTGAGTCTGTATTGTCTTTCTTCCTTTGTGATTATTTACTATGTGATAGCTCAGAGATTTGGGGCATGATGTGCTCCACAGTAGCTGTTTCTGGGGAGCACAAAGGTTGGAAGGGTTGATGAGTGTGTACTCTTTCCTGCCCTGCGCCTGCAGCAGAGCATGGTGGCACCTTGACGGAGCTGTCATGTGGGATGAAGCAATTAGTGGCTCTTGCTGATCTGTACTGAACCGTGCTTACATCTTAGAGCTACTCATCTGTGGCATTTGTAGTGTGGGTGTCAGTCAGTTCTGAGGTTTCATCTCTTACAAGATCGACATTCTAAGCAGCATTTCCTTATTTTCCATGTTAAGACTGTAAGTAGCTGATCCTCTTTCTTTTTTGGTGCTGGAAATTGAACATACTTTGTGCACAGTAGGCAGCTGAGCACATCTAGCCTGAGGAGATGATCTTGGTGTGAGAGCAGCAGGCTGAGGAAATACTGCATTGGGACACAGTCTAGCACAGCAGTAACTAACACTTGGGGATGCAGGGTATGTTACATGACATTACTAATGTGCCAGGCTATAGGCAAGCACAAATGGTGAGCAGAGCACATCAGACTGAAAGTTGTGTGGCTTTATTGTAGCAGACTGGATTTCAGTGCTTCTAGTTAGGGTGCTTCTCCTGTTGTCTGTGGCCAGCATCAGTGGTGACTTCTCTTTAATGCATATAGAAATTATATTACCACATTAACACACATTGTAAGGCTAAAACCCCCAGGACAGTGCTCTTAACCTGTCTTTGTCTTCAGATTTCAGGCATTTGCTTCTGAGGCTATCCTTCCTCTCACTCTCAGCATCATGTGTGGTTCTTGGGTTGTTTGTTCTGGTCTGACACATTTGCCCACTGTCAGAGGGCTCCAAGTTAAGGACAGCTTGAGGAGAAAAGACATACCTCATAGCTTACGTGGAAGAGTCTTGACTCAAAGGAGAGAGAGGGCAGAGCAGAGAGGGCAGAATAAACAAAGACTGTAGAGCACGCCTGTCAGGGACTCAGGCTTGGCAGAGGAGAGGAAGACCAGATGGAATATACTTTTGTCAAGCATGCACAAATAGGCTTTCCAGAGCGAAGCCTTTATCAATCCTATGGTTTTTTCTAGTGGGAAACCCTGAAGCCCTTGAAGTAAATAGTCGTAGGCCAGGTGGGGCAGCTGGCCATGCCTTTCTGTCCTCACTTACTCTTATCCCCATCTCCGATGGACAGAGAAAAACTTTCTCATCACGGTAGAAATCCAAGCAGGTGCAATTGCATTTGCAAAGTTTAATTAGTAGAAATAATTCTTTTTTTCTTTTCTTTTTGTTAATTAAAGGTTGGGATCAGAACATGTTTAGATCTTAGCCTGGGTGGCGGTCATCCAGTGGGTCAATAGATTGAACTTGTGTTTTGCTAAAGATTGAAATACTTGAGTTTAATTTTTGTCCAGAAAAAAATGGAAGTTTTAGAATTCACATCATTGTAGCTTTGTATTTTTTTCTTTTGAAAGATATATAGTAAGCTTTGCAGCTAGACTGCCAAACACCTCTTTCAAAAACTATAGTTATAGTTATATTTCATTAGAGAGTTTAAGCTGCTACTACTCAAGACTTGTCATAAATGTAAATAGAATAATACAGCAATGCATTGACAGTAAGGGAAAATGTAAATTGACAACAGAGTAAAGAAAAACTACCTGCTCTCAGTGCCTCAGATCCAAGCTCCATTTAAATGAGGACAACTACATCACTTGTCTGCACCATGACATAACCCTTGCTTGATCTTGGACATATTGGGTCATAATTGGTTGAGGTTTGCCTCAGATCAGTGTAACTAATACAATAAGAGCATAAGTCATGGTATTAGCTAAATAAGTAATGGCTGTCAGGCTTCACATGATCCTGGTAATGGTCATATCCCTCAGCTGCCTTCCAGCTTGCTTTGGAGCTAGCAGGAAGGTTTAGGATGGTAGCTGATCTATAAAAAGTGTGCATGGCCTCCACCTACTGTTAACTGAAAGGCAGCTTTGTTCCTTGTTATTGTGTTCAAGAAGGCACGGTTATATTTCTGTTCTCTTTTTGTAAGATACCAGGGCATTGTAAAACACTTAAAGTCCATTTAAAAAGGGTCAACATCTTAAAACTCTGAGCTTACAATAATATAGAAAAGTAACTTTTGAACTGATGGAGTTATTTGCTGAAAGGTGTCTTCTTTAGTGGGTTCCCTAGAATATTCCAGAGTCTTCCATATGTGTACTGTGGAAGACTAAAGTTCCAATAGAGGCAGACTTCTGAAGAGTACTGTGCAACAGGAAAAGACTAACTTGGTAGGGCTTACTCCTCCATTCATGATTTAGTCATTGCAACACTAAATATTTTTATCTTTTGTTTTTGACCACTGGGCTGTGTCTTTACTTGAATAAAACATTTTTCTCTTCAAACTTGTAAACTAGGCCTTATCTGATACCTGCAGTACTACAGTGTTTAGACGGGTCTGTGGGTGTACTCAGTAATAAAGCATTTACTATAGTGTGAGTGAGGTCCTGGATTCCATGACCAAAACTAAAACAAAAAAAATTTTTTGAGACATAGAAAACACTGTGCCTTACATTGTGTGATGAAAGCTACTAACTATGCTGGCTATTTAAAGTTAATTAAAAATAGCCTTATATATGTCTCTTTATATATAAGTCTTATATATACGTCTCTTTAAAGTAGGCTGTGTTTGCAAAACCCCTTTTGACAAGTTAAGTTCTGTGCATGCTGTAGTTTATCCACTAGAAATGTTTTACCAATACTAAAACCACAGGTTTTTAGTTCACTAGCTCACCTGATTAGGCATCTGCATTTCATTTTATAACCTTGCTTTTAGCATAGCAAATGTAAATATATTCTTTATTTGTAATAGTAATAATACACTAATGTTATAAAATTTATTCTGTGTTATTTTGTACTTTAGTAGCCTAATCCAGTTACTTCTTCCCTTAGGAATCAGTCTTTGCATTTGCATCTCAAGCATTATGGTGTAAACTGTGATGACTGGTTATTGCGGCTCATGTGTGGAGGAGTAGAGATTAGGACAATCTATGCTGCCCATAAACAGGCAAAAGCTTGCCTCATTTCAAGGCTAAGCTGTGAACGAGCTGGGACAAGGTTCAACGTCCGAGGAACAAATGATGATGGTCATGTTGCCAACTTTGTAGAAACAGAGCAGGTAACATAATGCTTTATATTTCTTACTATGTTGTAAAAGAGACTCAGGAAGTACTAGGGTAATGGACTTGTGAGGAACACAGGAAGTACTAGGTAATACATTCCAAATACATTTTGGCACGTATAGTGTTGATGTTCTTGATTATTTATTGGCCTTAAGAAAGGCTTTCCTAGAACAAACTTACACAGGTTTATAATACTAATTAAGTATTCTTACATAGTCAGTGCTCTACATTTGACAGTGAATCATAAAATCTTCAATTATAGAGCAAGATGGCTTAATAAAAATATTTTATGTGAAAATAAGTTCAATTCTTACAGATATGTACTACATAAAATTTTAAAATTATAACATTTGGCTGTGGAACTATGTAATTGTAAAGTTTCAAGCTATAACTCAGCCCAACTCAGATCTTTAAATTAGATTTTGGAAAATATAAAAAAGCTAAGGAACAAATTAAAAGAAATATAAGGATATGTGTGTGTATATATATATATATATATCAGTGAGATTAAAAAGACTTTCTTTTTAAAATGTGAATTTTATATTTTATTGTTTTCTTGTTCAATATTATTATTAACTGAAAATCTTAGTATCCTGTTTTTGGTTGCTTTGATGAGGACAGTTTACATATAAGCGGTCATCAAGTGCAGAGACTTTAGTAGCTGCTTTCCTAAAACAGAAACAACAGTTTTTTCTTTGGAATTTTTTTTGTAGGTTATATACTTAGATGACTGTGTTTCTTCCTTCATACAAATCCGAGGATCTGTTCCATTGTTCTGGGAGCAACCAGGCTTGCAAGTATGTGCCTGACAGCCAGGCGTTTGTTATTATTGTTGTTTTCTTTTGAAAATTTCCATATTGTCCATTTTCAACTTAGTTCTTCAGTTTTACTGATCATTCTGTGTGTGTAATACTCACAAGTGAGGCTCTGCAGAGCATCTTCTCTTAGACATTCTTCCTTTCAGTTCTGTATTAGCTGCTTTTATATTACTGCAGTGATTTATTGTAGATAGGCCAATTTTATAAAGAAAAAAGTCGCCAGGTGGTGGTGGTGCATGCCTGTAATCCCAGCACTTGGGAGGCAGAGACAGGGTATTTCTGAGTTCGAGGCCAGCCTGGTCTACAGAGTGAGTTCCAGGACAGCCAGAACTACACAGAGAAACTCTGTCTCGAAAAACAAAAACAAACAAAAAAAAAGTCTTATTTTTATTTTGGCTCATAATTTTAGAGATCAGAAGTCATGACCGGATAGGCCCATTGGTTTGGCAACTGGGAAATCGGTGTGACCCTTGACGGCATTACCACTGGGTATATATGGAAATGTCTTTAACAGGAAGCCAAAGAAAGAGTCGAATATTCAGTTCAGGCACCACAGGAAGCCAGCATTCCCTCCCAGGGCATCTCTCCCAGTAGTCTAAAGACTCCCACAAGGCCCTACTTTCTTTCTTTTTTATATATATATGTATATATAATTTATTTTTTTTCAAATTATAATTTATACTCATTCACACAGGGGTTATAAACACAAAAAGGCAGGATATGGGGAAGGGGATGACACTGGAGCGTGGGTGTTCAGGGGAATACAGATATCTTAAGAACATGGTATCAGCTAGGTGAGGGTTCAGGGGATATGTCACTATGACTCTGCCTATGATTCACTTATCCTTATCTAAGTTGGTAATATCTGCCAAGGCTACCTATTTACAAGGTCTATGACTACTCAGGCTGGTAAATTGTCACAAAAACTGCCTGTTTATAATAGCTTATAGCCATCTGTTTCAGTGTTTATCCACAGAGACCCAAAACTTGGTGTTAGTATACATGTATGACAGGCCTATTGCTGATTTTAGTCCTATGGATGATTTTAGGCCTTCAGTGTGTAAGCAGGGCTGCCCCTGACATCTCCTCCCTTCTCTAAGTAAAGACGGGCTGTGGTGAATCTAATCTTGCGAAGGCGGAGATAGAGGCCTGACCTCCAGTAATTGAAGGGGACCTTGTAATGGCTCCGGTCCCCCTGTTGTTGTCCAGTGAGGCATGAGGGCCATACCTATCCTGATGTCTTTTTCCTGGAGAGGGGATACTTTTGACATCAACCCCTATGCAGTCAGGCTTGTCCCTCAGGGAACCCAGAGAGATATTTTTAACTTTTATTGATATTCCCTTGCAGTGCTTAGCCTCGCAGCCTAAGCAAGAATTCAGGTCGCCTGTCAGAGGGGGTTCTGGGTGGCCTCTCTCTGCTTGGTCTAGGGGTGGAAGTCCCCTTTTTTAGGTTGGGTGGAGATGGGTTTTGAGAACACCCTGGGTAAAGTAACAACCTCATCTTGAGTCTCGTGGTCCTCCATAGCTAACTTATGATAATGTATCTGAATAGGTTTTGCTACAAAATTATTTATCTGTTGTTTCACAGAGTTAGTCAGCCTATTTGAGGCCCAGGGACCAGAAGAAATAAGCAAAAAGAACCCAAATAATGGTCCCAAGATGAGAGGAGGTAGGGTTGACAACCCTGGAAAGGTTGAAAACCAATTCTTGTACCAGCACTCATCTTTCTCTTTCTCTCTCTAACTTTTCTCAGGAAGGCCCTACTTTCAACAGTTCCACACCATCACCAACACTGCTGCCCTGGGTACCAAACCTCCCAAGCATGAAAGCCTTAAGGGACAGACCACTCTCAAACCACATGACATAACTGTAGCAACTCAGGAGCCTGTTCAATTTTTAAAATTTCATTATTTTCTCATTATTTTAGTATAGAATGAGTTACTCTTTTAAAGCAGGAGAATTTGGTAGCTGAAAAACTGGACTTATTTACACCCCTTTATCTACCATTGCTAGCTAGGTGATCTTGCACAAGTGATTGAATTCCTCTGTCTGTCTCAGTCTCCTCATCTGTAAATCTGGGGTTGCTATGTAGACTGAATTAAAACCACGTAAAGCCGTACCTGGCACACAGCAGCTCGTCAGGGTTAGGCATTGCTATTTAGTGACATGTGTGACCTGACCTTTGCTTTGTAACCTGTGATGTCTCATCATTTTCAGGATATTCCTGATGATCTTTAAGTTCATTTTTAAAAACATAATTACTTCATCTTTACAAAATGTTTTTAAAATATAAGATTATGGTATTAAATTATTTCCAAAAGTATATTCTTACATGAATTGTATTGAGAAGTGCTCAGTGCTTTAAAGAGCCGTGTTCAATGTAGGCCTCTGGTGTGTGTGATCTAGCAGACTGAGTCTTAGTTAGGACTGAGAATGATACTGAAAACAAAGCCTTGCTTCCCCTGTGGAAACTGGAGGCCTCTGAATTTTTCCAGTGTTAGTTTACTTACAGTATGCCTAGGACTACAACACAATGAATCCTTGTTCTGTTTTGCTAAAATTCTTAGTTATTGTCAAGACTAGTCTGACTGGTGTGAGGGTTTTTGGTGGTTTTGTTTTGTTTTATTTGGAAAGTGGTGGGTTTTTATTTTGTTTTGTTGTTTTCTTCATTTTGAGGCAGGGTCTCACTGTAGTTTGCTGGCCTGGAGCCTCTGTATGTAGACCAAGTTGGCCTTGAACACAAAGAGATCCACCTACCTCTGCCTCCTGAGTCCTGGTTTTAAAGATGTGTGTCACCGCATCCAGCCAGGTGTAGACTCTGTTTTAAACATAGAGCAGCTTCCTGACTCTCTCAGAAAAGGATGCCAGCCCAGCCTAACTTTTCTTATGCCTTTGAGATCTTTGGTGTTTTACTGAGCTGAGATAACTAGAGTCTTTACCATTATAGAGAAAAAGACACATGAACATTGTTAGTAATAGGCTCCTTAGGAAAATAGAAATTTTGGTTATGAATGTAAATCTCTTATCTGAACCTTTTTTAAAAAATTAGTTACACAGAACTTAAACAGAATATATATTTAAGTTTGAAATAAGGTAAGTAGTATGTATGAAAGCACTCAAAAATCTCTTCCATCAAAAAGTCACTATTAATGAGTATTTCCTAGTGGGTGTAACTTGTTCTTTTTTCTTTTCTATTTCCTCTTGTCATTTACAGCATACATGACCACTATGAGGATCTAAGACATGTGTGTTGTTGATTTTGTTTTTTTAAACAGGGTCACACTGTGTAGCCCTGGCCTGGATCCATGTAGACCAGTTTAGTCTTGAATTTGAGGCATTCTTCCTAGCTGTGAGTCCCAAGTGCTGGAATTAAAAGTGTACCACCATGCCCAGCTTCCTAGTCTTTCTATGTTATGGATGGGGCTGAAGACTTGGCTCAGTGGATGAGAGCACTGGCTGCTCTTCCAGAGATCCTGAGTTCAATTCCCAGCAACCACATGGTGGCTCACAACCATCTGTAATGGGATCTAATGCCCTCTATTGGTGTGTCTGAAGTCAGAGGACTCAGTCATATATATATACATATACATATATACATACATACATACATACATACATACATACATACATATATATATATATTCATACATGTATGTATATAAATTTTTTTTTCAAAAAAGGGAATTTTGCATGTTGGCTGTTCCACTTTATATATTTTTCTTTCTATCTTTGTTAGGCCTTATAAGATATAAAACATAGAAACCCTTCTCTGTTATGTACTAAGTTTAGATGGTTCACACAACAAATAATACTAAGCCAAGCTCTGATGTTACTTTTTAAATCTAAGTTTGTACAAATTGGGCTGTTTGTTGTTGTTTCAGTCAGTGTAAAAATGAGTGCTGGCATTAGAGCTGTGTGCCAGCATACCTGGCCATCATTCTTTTTATATGAGACTGCTTCTTGCGACTAGGATTAGGGGATCCCTTGAACTCTAAACAAATTACCACGTGTGAGGATCAGGCTTTTCATTTACTGTGTTCACTAAATGAATTAGTTGGATTGCAAGTGGTGATGTTTCTTTTGTCCTGATTGTGCTTTGGGTAATGATTAAGTCATTTTTCTTTCCTAAGGTGGGATCCCATCGTGTTCGTATGTCAAGGGGTTTTGAAGCCAATGCGCCTGCCTTTGACAGGTAGAACTGGTTATTTTTGTGTAACACTATAGATGAGGTTCATGTTGTATTTGCTTTGTGTGGCATTGCTATATATAGCAGAAACTATTATTACCTTTTCTTTGCTTTATAATTGCTTTTTTTTTCCAGTGGTACCTCATGAATACCGGTGTACATTAATCACACCACTTTGCACTGAAGTTTCTCTTGAGCATATATAAATATATTAAAGTTTCATTTATAGACACAGTGAGAGATTAACTCTTATTAATAACTAATTGTATTATATGCATGTATGAAATTCTCAATAAAAAATTAAAAATGGGAGAACTATAATAATACTGAACTAAAATGAATATACAATGTAACATCTCTCTGGAAAGAGTCAGAACAGGTGTTAGCATTTTTAGACCCTGTTTGACCTCAGGTAACAGAAACTATGGGAAGAAAAGCCACAGCTAAGGGAGCCTTCAAGGGCTAGAGCCAGTCAGGAGACCCTTGTGACTATTCCTGAAGCATGTGGTCATCAGAAGGGCCGGATGTGCTATGACCTGCCTTGTCTGTTGTTAGCTTCACAATGGAAAGTAAGCTAGAGGCTGGACGATTCCAGAGCTCCGGGCCGTGAGAGTAAGGCATCCATAAGTCAGAAAGAAAATTGAACTTACTGAACTTTATAAATGCAAGTGTTTGAGAACATGTAGGATAGATTTGTAGCCAAGTTAGCAAATTTTCTAAGTTTCTCGTTTACTGGGGAAGGCTTTATGCTGTTTCCTGTCTTTTGTCAATAGGCATTTCCGAACACTTAAGGACTTATATGGTAAACAAATAGTAGTAAATCTGCTTGGATCTAAGGAAGGTGAGCATATGCTGAGCAAGGCTTTCCAGGTGAGTATGACCACCTTATCTTCTCTTCTGCCCACCTAGAATGGGAACAAAAAACAAAGTAAAGTGCAAGAAGAGTACCTCCTAGGCAAAAGTTAGGTCCTGGTGATGATGCTTTAACTCTCAGAGGCTGTTAGAAATCAGTATAGACAAAATAATCAGTTTTGGATCGATGTCAATTATGTTATATAAGGTGCATAGAATAGCCAGAAGACATTTTCTAAGGTTAAGTGGAAAAGTAACCGAATTAGCTATTTTTTAAGATTATGAGGAAAATATTATTAATTAAACATTGTGCTTTTGAGAGTCATACTTTAAAGGTAAACTTAAACAGTATAGATAGTATTGAATGAGGGCATAAAAGATGAATCTGTTAATCTCTGTTAGAGTTGGTGTTAAAAACTAAGGTACTTAGTTTAGATTCTTAGAAGGTAAAAGTACTTACTAAATTTGTTCATAACAATAAAAAACTAGGGCTGGAGAGATGGGTCAGTGGTTAAGAGCACCAACTGCTCTTCCAGAGATCCTGAGTTCAATTCCCAGCAACCACATGGTGGCTCACAACCATATGTAATGAGGTCTGATGCCCTGGTGTGTCTGAAGAGAGCAATGGTGTATTCATATACATAAAAATAAATACAATAAATCTTTATAAAAAACAAACAATGAAATACTGGTTATTAGAAACTATTTCATTTTCTAAACCAACCAAAAGTATTAATTAGGTCACACGAATTAATTTTGCCACTCAGTCTTTCTGGGATAGTGTATGGGTTTTAGACAATAAATGCCATTAGGCATCAAAAAGTGTTCCTTTTGCTGCCAGTGTCAGTGAAAGTTTTGGGGGAGGGGTTAGCAAATTTTCAGAGAACTATCTGTGCCACAGCTTGGAACGTTGTGTGTGGTGGCTGCAGCAATAGACCACACTGACATTTATGTGACCATTTGCTGTTTTACTTTCAGAGTCATTTGAAAGCCTCTGAACACGCTTCTGATATCCACATGGTGTCCTTTGACTATCATCAAATGGTTAAAGGAGGAAAGGCAGAAAAATTACACAGTGTTCTCAAACCACAAGTCCAGAAGTTTCTAGATTATGGATTTTTTTATTTCGATGGCAGTGAAGTTCAAAGGTTTGATGGTTCTATTCTTCTCTTTAAATTGGAACTTTGCTATAAATTATTCTTAACATTGAACTTTTAATTTTTCTTCTTTATGTTGCAGTTTATAATTTTAATATTTTTAATACTTTATGTTAAGTTTAGGTTTTTTTCCATATTTCAATAAATAATACTAATAAGTTTCATCATCTAGAGTATAATGTGGGTCAGCAGTGTGTGTGTCTTCATTGTAACAAACAGTATCTATGGTCGTGCCTTCTGCATCTGAGGAAACGGAGGCATGGGCTTGAGCTGCTCCAGGTCACATGACTGGGAAGCAGTAGAGCAGAGTTCCCCTGGCTTCCGACTTCATGCTATTAGAGAAGCTTAAGTTCCAATAATTCTTGATTCTAGTAACGACCACTACATGCAAATAAAGGGAAACTGTTACTTTTGGTCTACATTGTTTGCACATGAAATAAGAAAAAGGTTGAAAGGTTTTGAAGATCAGATTTTACACTGAAGTAAACTTACAAAGATCAAAGTTATTGGCTTTTTTCAATTTGTGTTTTTATGTTATAGCAGCTTTATAGAGAAGTTAGTAGAAGAGTTCTTGTTTGTTTGTTTAAAAAATTCCCAAAATATTTGTTATTTTTTTTTTTTGGGAAAGAGCAGTAGGATTATAAACCTGAATGTATATTTATCTCCTGTATACAGGCTTAGTTAAAATAAATGTGTGGTAGATATGTAATGAAAACCATGTGATAAAACATTGACGTGTAGATGCTAGGTATGTGTAGATGCTAACTGTGCCTGAAAATGGTGATGGTATAAAACGGGAGGTAGAAGGGCATCCAATTTTAGCCCTTTCTGTGGCTGCCAGTTCCTTTATGTTTATTCATTGTTGTAAACCAGCCATGTAACTGTATCGAAATTGTTACAGGTGCCAGAGTGGTACAGTTCGAACAAACTGCTTGGACTGTCTGGATAGAACAAATAGTGTGCAGGCATTCCTTGGCTTAGAGGTAAAGATCACTACCTGTGCCATGTGCATCCCGAGTGCTCTTGCAAAGCCCGTGTTTCTCAGTCGTATAAAGTAATGAAACAGAGCCTTGTTACAGACCTTTGTTTTTATTTCTTGCCTTTCTCCCCACCCCACCTCTGGTCTCAAACCCCGTGTGATTTAAGTGTTCCCTTCATCTGCTCAGAGAGCTGTCAACTATTTCCTTCTGCTGTTCCTTAACATGCTTTTTAGACAGATGCCTGCGTGGAGACTGAGGTGCTCATCATCATCATCATCATCATCATCATCATCATCATTTTGCCTGTTTCTTGAAACAGTGTGCATGGATTTTAACTTAATGCTGAAGATTTTGAGATTTTAATTTTAAAATCTATCTTTACCTGTATATTTCTATAAAGTTATATTTTTGATAGTTTGAAACTCAATCCAAGTGGCATTATTTATGTTTATGTTAGTGTTGACTCACCATGCGTCTAGTGCAGGCAGAGTCTCAGACAGTCAGTAAACTGGAGCAGCACTGAGCTGGCCAGCTCTTCCCTGTCCAGTAAGTCAGGGCCATAACGTGGTGGTGCATTCTCTTTGTATTAGGAAGGACATAGTTTTCAAGAACTATAAAGGCCCAAATAGAAAGTAACTGATTTCTTTTTCTCTAGTTAATGATCTTAAATATGGCCAGTGAATTAGTTAATTAATTACAGAAGCTGTGCTTCTGTCTCAAAAATGAAAATCCAGTTGTATAAAGTTCTCAATGGCAGACATATATTTTTATGTAAGTAAATAACTTTTACTGTTTTGATTTTTTTGAAACCTATCATTGACATTTTTTTTATGACATATGAGATGTGAAAGAAGTCAAGTGGTAATTAGATAAATTCACATGGCTCAGATTTGATTGAGGCCCTGGCTTTTGGTGGCTGGCTATGTTTACAAGATCTGCCCACACTTATTGGAGTTCTTATACTTAACTTACCAAGTGTTCATTGCCAGTCTGTCTCAGTTGACCTTTGCTATTAAAAGTGTGATGTGAGAATGTGCCCCTCTGTCAGTCACATTTGGTTAGGCAGTTACAAAACTTATTGCCAAATTAGAGTTATACCAACAAACACTAAAGTGAAGTTTGCTTTTCCCACTTCTTAAAGATTGAAAGATTTAACCAATAAAGGAGACCCTTAGGCTATTTTATGTCCCATGTAAACACAGAATAACTCTAACATAAGCCTCAGTAATAAAATGAGCCCATTGAGGGGCCTTAATATATTTTTTAACCTTTTGTAATTATAGATAGTTACCACACCTAACAGAAAAGAAAATGTAAGGAGCTTAGCAAAACAGCAGGGAGAGCTAACTGATGAAGTTAGTAAAAGGAACAGACATTGCGTCTGGACTGCTGGAGTCCAAGATCAGTAGCTGTACAATGCTTATATTGCCATCCACTATGGAGGGTCTGTCGCCCAAAGGCCCTTGAAATGTTCACTTGGTACCCATAGTTCTTTTAAACATGCCATCAGTCTATAGACTGCATATATAAAAGGCTGCCGTGATGTTTTCAGGACCTCCTTATGACACTTAGGAGCAGCTTGCCACTTCTCTTGTTCATGTGACCTTAATTACCCAAGCTTCAAGAAGAAAGTCCAAAATGAAAATGTATTTATATTTAGGTAAACTTGGTACATATTTTTGCTCTCCTTTATAGATTAGTTGTGGCTTAGCTAGTTTCTTTAGTGAGCAAGGTAAACTGGGATAGATGGCTATAAGATTAATTGAAGGGAAAATTACATCTTTTATTTCCAAATTCATGTTCTCTTTTGAATCTCCTGAAATACCATTTTACCTTAAAAAAAAAAAACTACAAGTTTTACCTTAAAAAATTGAGATGGTAGCAAACATAGCCCAATAAAGTGTTAATACTTTCAGAGTTGTATATTTATAAATTTTAACTTTAATTCTAATAGTCGTAAAAAGTCACATTGCAATGAATATATTGCTATATTTACCTTAAAAATCCTTGTTTGCTCTTTCAGATGCTAGCTAAACAGCTGGAAGCTCTGGGCTTGGCTGAAAAGCCTCAGTTGGTGACTCGCTTTCAAGAAGTTTTCCGGTCCATGTGGTCTGTGAATGGCGATTCCATCAGTAAAATCTATGCAGGCACTGGAGCCCTTGAAGGGAAGGCCAAGGTAGAGCCAGATCTGTCACTGATTTTCATCTTTCTCCTCTCTGTAGAAAGTTCTGAAATGACTTTGTAACTAATAGTTTTTTATGTTAACAGGTATCTTTTAGGGTTGTTTCCCTATACTTTCATATCCTGTCTGATACATGTCATAGATTGTGATCATTAGTGAAACAGAAAATTCTTTAGGCTTAAGGGGTCAATATACTTTTAAAGATATTCCACTATGTATGAACTTATATTATTTTATATGGTTTAAAATAGTCTACCTCTCTTACTTTTTGAATTGTTTATATTGTTTTTAAATAAGATTTAAAGACAACAACAACAACATGGTCCTAATAGAGTACCCTGTCTTATTTGTCTTTGTGTGTGTCACTTGACCCAGGTCCTCTATTTAGGAAGCATGCATGTCACAAACAGTGGGTGGACATACTATCTGTCACCAATTTATACAAGCAGTGCAAAGAACCCAGGATTAGTTGGGCTCAATCAGTAACTTTTTACTTTCTGCTTCTTCTGCTTCTAAAAGGAAGCTCTCTCTATGTAGTAAGGGTGCTGTGTGGATGTAGTTACGATTCTGAATCTCGTCAGGACTTGTAGCTACTTGTATTACTTTCAGGTTACTTTTCTCTCTCTTTTTTTTTTTTTTTTTTTTTTTTTTTTTTTTTTTTTTTCGAGACAGGGTTTCTCTATGTAGCCCTGGCTGTCCTGGAACTCACTCTGTAGACCAGGCTAGCCTCGAACTCTCGAACTCAGAAATCCGCCTGCCTCTGCCTCCCAAGTGCTAGGACTTAAAGGCGCCACCACTGCCCGGCTTACTTTTCTCTTTTGTACTTGGTCTTTGTTGTGGGATTTGGGGCTGTATTTGGAATATGTTTTATGATTCTATGTACTTAAATCTTGTTTAACTATTTAGTTTAAGGAATTAAATTAAAATTACTTTAATTTTTCCTAAATCTCTTAATTCCTCAAATTATTTCTGGATAAAAGTGAGAACATCTAGCTAGGTATGGAGGTTCATACCTATAATCTCAGCATTGGAGAAGTTGAGACAGGAGGATTGTGACAGGTTCGAGACCAATGTAGGGTATATGGAGAGTACTGAGTCTGAAAAGTCCCAGTTTAAAAAACAAAACAAAAACATCAGTCAACAAAAGGAGAAAGTGTTACTATCTTAATGGTCTCAGGAGCTGCAACCGAGCAGCCAGGGTTCCTTCCCTTGAGGATTACTGGGCATCTGGAGTCTGAGTCTTTGTGTTCAGTCTGCCTCTTCTGCTGCAGACTGGCCTCACAGCAGGGTGCCTCTTGTCCCTCAGGAGTGCTCTGTAGAAGTCGCAGTCCCTAAGCACTGCTCTCTGTAGAAAACATGAAATTGCTTGACTTTCCTTTACTCCTTTTAAAATAGCATAATTCTTGTTATTAAACTCCAACTGTCCAACTTTTGCTTTAAAATATTCTTTTATATTCTTCTGCCTTTGGTTTCTGCTGTGACTAAGACAATATATGTACATAAGTTACATATATGTTCAGTATGCTTATCTTTAACATAATATATAGATATGAAATCTTTATATATTAATATTAAATATACTAGTCTGAATTGAGCTAAAATCTAACATCCGAACTGCTTTCTTTTCCTTTCTCTCGGCTCCTTTTGATTAATTGCCTGATAATGTGAATGGTGAGTGTCCTTTTTTCAATAACATCATTTTATTTATTTTATGACAAAAAATAATGATTACATTATTGCTTTATTACATTTAGTGGCATATAAAAATGGCTCTTTATTTTAAAAAGAAGCCTATAGCTACTGTTATTTTTCAAAGGGATGAAAATTACACATTCCAAACAAAAGTTATTTTTGACAGTCAAAACTCTATAGGATCAAAATAAATATTATCTTATAATATGGATAAGTGACATATCTGTTCATTATAGTTGTAATCAACTCTCTCACTATTGGAATAGGTATTTATTTTTGTGAATTATGTTTGTATAGGCAACAAAATATCTCTAATAGGCAAACTAAAATTTATGTATCATATTTGAGATGTAATTACAAATTTGTTTTTTTAACAAGACCTTTAGCTTTAGATTCAGTTCTGTCATTAACTACCATTAAATTACTGGGGTACAACCTCACTTTTGTACCATCAGAGCACTTAGAAGCATTTCTAGGAGCTGCAAGTCCAATGTGTCATCCTTTGTCCTCGCTACCTTTTCCTACCTAGCCATCCTTACATTTAAAAGTTATGATGTAGAAAGGCATTTTCTTAATTCAAAAAAACACAATGTGAATTATTGACTGTTCAGTATATTACTAGATGAAGTTGTGGCATTTGGTTTGTCATTTTCTTTGTACAGACGGGAAGGGAACAGTTACATTTTAAAGCCTTTCAATGTTTTTATACATTTAAAGGGTAATTATTAGAACCCTTTTAATACTAGAACTTTTTAAAAAATAATTTAAAATTGCAAAATACCCATTGAGCAAAATCAACAGTATTTCAAACCAGAGCCCATGCTCCTTTCTCCCACAACAGGCTGGAAAGTTAAAAGATGGTGCACGATCTGTCACCAGAACCATCCAGAATAACTTCTTCGACAGCTCCAAGCAAGAGGCCATTGACATTTTACTTCTGGGAAATACTCTAAACAGCGATTTGGCTGACAAAGCCCGAGCACTTCTAACTACTGGGAGTTTGCGTGGTATGCATAGTTTATATTTTATTTACTTCACTTATTTATATTGTTTAAAAGTCTCCCCAAAAAGTATATTTAAACTTATTTACGTGAATAGTTCCTAGGCTATAGTTGATTTAAGTAATTTTGGAAGGAATTTTTATACAAGTAGTTTTTATGAAATAGGATTCTCCAATGAAGTTTCTCACTTGTCAAATGTTAATACTGTGATCCTTAAAACAGCCACAAACTGGCTGTTTTATTCTGAACACTCTGTGTACTTTCTTCTATAGATTATGCCTTGGGGACTATGTAGTCTAAGTGCTGCTAACCTGATGCAAGGGAAGATTCCACAGAGTTTAGGGTCGCACTTTAAAACAGTCAGTAATCCAGCTATACAGGCAGTGCTTCAGTGAGAAAACCTTGTATCTGTATTGGTTCATTTTTTATCAACACCACAAATGTTTTTATAACCACATCCTAACTTTGGTTGTTATTGTTTGAATCAGCTTAAATCATAGTAATGATTGAAAGTAGTGTTGATTGTTGGCCACTAATCCCTACAATCCATTTTAATATTTGACATAAATATATAGCCTTCAAAGTAAGTTTTTCTCCAACATAGCTTTTTACCTTTTTGTATGTCTTTTACTAAATGTCAAAAAATTAACTTTCCATGTTAATACATAAAAGCAATATTATGAGGAAACTAAAGAGCATTCGTTTGTACCTGTAATACATTAGATTTCCTGCCTCTCTCCACTTTATTGAGGTATAATTGACAAGCTCACTTAGATTCCTTTAGTTCCACTTTTTCCCGTTAGAACTTTAGAGCACTGTGGACTTCTTTTTCTGTTAGCCCCAAACCTTCCCGCACACACTCTCCACACAGGACATTTCCTGTGTCTAGTAATAATACCCTCTTGAGACTGACCATACAGGTGATTATAGAATGTCAGACTTCTCCTGATGCTATGAAGTTTGTTCATTACAAGCAGCCTCTCAGGAATATATAAGTAGTCTTGGGGGATGGGACCCACTCAAATTCTTTTTTTTAAAAAAAAGTCTGATACTTACTACATCTTTGAACTTCAGACTTCTTCCTGGCTTCCAGTGGAGACTGGCTGATTTCTGTTTTGTCACTTCTTTGCACCCGTGCCTACTCTGATGTGGAGGCATTAATAAACAACCATGGAAAGTAAGTGTGTGAGGGGAGGAGAAGCAAGCCGCTCAGGAGCTCCCCAAGCTGAGCAGCGGTGTCTAGTTCCCTGCACATCGCACCATGTGTCCCATACCTCTCAGACGTGGTCAGCTCCACTGCCATGCCTCTTCTGACACTGAGAGACAGCTTGTTCCAGTGGTTGATACATTAGGTAATGTGAACATGATGCCAGTTTTGCATGAGCTTTTGCGTGATTTTGCTGGCAAGCAACATTAGGCAAATGCAGAAAACTGCCCAGCAGAACCAATATGGGTGCAGACATACAAAACGTGCATAGCCATATGCACATACCTTAAACATCTTCCCTTCTGCAGTTCAACGTGTCTTTCGAGCCATACCCACCCACATTTGATGTCAATTTCCCATCCATCTCTTATAGCCCTTTTGCTAATTTTCACAGTTGCTATGCCCTTCTGGATCCCATTTCTACAAGCCACCTTCTTCTTTTTTTTTTTTTTTTTTTTAGATGTGGTACCTTACTATTGTATAATCATTCATTCCATAACCATTTAACATACATAGTACTATGCTGTTTTTTAAATTGGGTTCCTGTCTTCTTTGGTGTGTCATTTTTGAAGTTTTTGTATGTGATAACCAACCGCATTTTTCCTATAAACCTTTGCAGCCACAAGAATTTGCATAGTTTTACATAGCATAGTTGATGGTTTTAGAATGCACTTGTCTTGTTATAACTGAACTGATAGCAGTTACCAATTGATGAGTCCCAGAAAAGAATATTAAAAGTTATGTGTTAAGACATATCTTTCTATGTCTTTGGTGTCCTTCAGCCTCTTAGATTTTTATATTCATACTCTCTCTTTCTGTCACACACTCACGTACACACACATACACACACATATGCAATGTGCACGCACACATGCACATGAGCTTCTGGAAGAGGAGAACCTTCACATTGTGAAGCAGTGGACATCACTGAGTCAGTACAGGATATCTTCAGACACACGGGTTTGTATCAGTTATTATTTATTGTCTTTGGTGTTATAGCTTCAAAAAACAAATTCAAGTTGTCAACTTGAAAGAAATAATGCCATCTCAGGATGATTTTAAGGTGACACAATAAGTTTTAAATGTAACTTGTTGTTTTACTAATGATTCTTTGTTTTCTTCTTGATGCATCCATAGTTTCTGAACAGACATTACAGTCAGGTACAGTATAGAAAAATCAATATATAACTAAAAGAAACCTTTCCTTTATTTTTGTAAAGCTGATGTTGAACACACACAGGTGTAATTTTATCATATTACAGAATAAATTAATATTATTACTCTAAAAATTTTAAGTTTGCAGAAAATAAGTACTTTATTCAGGAAGAAATATACAAGATTCTTTCTCTTCCTGCATCACAGGCATATTCCAATGGAAGATAATTCAGCTAGATTAAGTTTCATTTTATATTTCCTTGAACATTGTCACTGTTAGATCTTACTCTTCACAGACTGCAGGAAAAGGTCTGGATATGGCTGTTTGCATTGGTCCAGATCCTGTGCATGCTGGTTAGATCCACTCAGCACTGCCTTGCACAGAGGCTGCTGGCTAATTCCCTTACGTTGCTGATGACTTGTTCTCTAGAACTACAGGCCTGCACTAAAACAAGATCTGAAACCTCCTCACTTTAAACAGCATCATGTTGCTCACCAAGTCAGAGCAGGTGCATGGGTAGTACTTAATTTGGCTCCTCTTTTCTTTGCCTATGTATTCATAGGAATTTCATCTCTTCATTCTCTGTGGATTATGATCTTGTCTTTTAAGGTGAATCTGTAGCAAACAGGACAAAGCAAAAGTCTTGCCAGAAATTTAGCTGCAAATCAACACCTTCTCTTCCCTTACTAGGACATTCTGCCTAATCACCGTTGTGACTCTTCTGACAAACTGTTAGTGTTTTATTTTAAATGAAAGTGAGGAGGGAACACTTGGTTGTGCATTGGGTTATGTAATGAGCACCATTACTGTAAGGATATAGTGCTTAAACATCTGTGGTCTTAACAGACTCATTTCTTTAAGCACTTTAAGGTGCCAGCATGTTGAGAAGAAACTAGGATTATACTTTACCTTATTTTATTCGTAAAGTGATTTGACTTTATTAATTCAAACAACATGACAGCCCGGTTTTGTTCACATGGCATTGCTGTTTTGCTCAATTCTTTAAGCTTTACAATCTCAGAATTGACATTTTGATACTGAGTGGATAGGGATGACTTTAAAGTCCATAATGTCCATAATAATAGAGAATGGCCTTTTGCTGGATGTTGTCAGCTTTAGTTAGTGGTACTGAGGACAGAGCAAATAATTTGCTTTTGTTTGCACCCAGTCACTACTATAGATAATCAAATCAAACAGGAAGAGGTTGAGAAATGTACAAATCTGCTCTTAAGAGAATGGAGATATGGTTATCCAAATTACTTCAGTTCCCAGTGGCTTAGAAGTCAAAACTACTGTCATGAGACTAATGTGGTACTGACCTTTCCCAATCCCAGTTCTCAGGACACTGCTAGTTCTCAATATCATAAAATAATAACATAGTAAGGTGAGATTATTTGGCAAAATATGAAAGATATGAAACTAAGAAAGGGAGGACAGTGGGACCTGAAAGGCATAGTACAGTTTTAACCAGCTGAGCAAAGAAGCCTTGTTGAAAGTAAAGAGCAGAAGGAAGAAGGGATGAGTATTGCAGGCGGTGGGTACTGTAGGCTAAAGCTTTGTAATAGGAGCAAGCCTGATCTGGCCTGTGGCTGAGTGCTGAGTGGACAGAGAGGGCTGAAGCTGAAGGCAGAAGCCAGACCCTGCAGGTCTCTATTGAGCACTTGAACTCCTCTCTGACAGGGAAGCATTCAGTAGTGATTTCATCTCAGCATCTCATCTCCTTCCCTAATGCTCATTTTTGTGAGAGAGCCATTGTTCATCAAGCTGCCTGTCAGTAATTGGAATTTTAACTCTAGGTGTTTTCTAAGTGTTTTTGTTTAAGGAGAAATAAAATTTGTATTTTTACCAGCCTGTTAATAACAATTTAAGTTAGTTGCTGTGTTGCTAAGGAAGAAAGGAAGGAAGGAAGGAAGGAAGGAAGGAAGGAAGGAAGGAAGGAAGGAAGGAAGGAAGGAAGGAAGGAAAGCTTGTAAGTTTTATGTATTATAAACCAGCATACCACTGAATCAGAATTGTTCCTCCTGCATGCTTTATGTTTCTACAGTCATTCTGTAATAGTTCTTACGTCCAATCTTTAATTTCATTGACTCAGTCTGGTTACTACCTCTGGCTGGGCTTGCCATTCAAGGCTGATCTCTTCCTTGCACCTGTGCATGCGTTTTATTTGTGCTTGTGACAATAGTTGTATTTTCTAGATACCGTCTGTTAATGAAAAACACCTTTACGAGTGGTTTTCTGCAGCTAATGTTTTCTTGCATCTTGTTTTTTGTTAGCATCCTCCAAAGTCTTAAAGAACATGTGTGAGAACTTCTACAAATATTCAAAGCCCAAGAAAATCCGCGTGTGCGTTGGAACCTGGAATGTGAATGGTGGGAAGCAGTTCCGCAGCATAGCATTCAAGAACCAGACGCTCACTGACTGGCTTCTGGATGCTCCCAAGTTAGCTGGCATCCAGGAGTTTCAAGGTTGGATTTTTATATCAGGGGTTTAACTAAAGTCTTGACTTCAGTGTGACACTTAACTAATTCAGAACAGAAACTCAGCCTTTTAAATTAGTTTGAAAGCCAATATTTCTCAGGTTAAGTCTGATAAAATCTTACCTCACTTTTTATTTGTAGACAATTTGTTATTTAGTAAAAAAAACAATAGTGGAGCTGGGTATGGTGGTTTACATCTGTAATCCCAGCACTCCCGAGATTGAGGCAAGAGGATTGCTCTAATTTCTAGCCAAGCCTGGACTACACAGTAAAACTTTGATTCATAAAACAAAACAAACAGAAAATTTAAAAAAAATTTTTTGGCTAGTTGTTTCTCAGGAGATTGGGATAGGGACATCTTTGAAGGCAGCCACACATATAAGAGAAACTACTTCTGTTTTGATTTAAATAGACATGACCCAAGTTTATTTTGTAGTTGATCGTTCATTCTTTATGATTTAAGCCCAGAATGTTCCGTTTTCCAGGGAGGATCATGAGCAGTCTTATAGAGGCCTAGAGAGATGGCTCAGAGAGAAAAGGGCCTTCTGTTCTTTTAAAACTCTGAGGTTTCACAGATGTGGCATACACACATACGCAAAACAACAACAACAACAACAACAAAAACACAAAACTTAGTTGTCCATTGTGGATACTCTGCCCTGAAGCTATTCATAGAACTTTCTAACATGATAGTAATTAGTGTTAGGAACTTAAGAATGCACTTAAACTTCCTTTAAAAATAGCCTGTTGCTACCAATATTAATACATGAAGGTGCTGTGTGTAGGAAATTGTGCGAGGTAGAAATTTTCCTTTTTTTAGTCCTTTTTAATCAATCATATCTTAGCTTTTGGAATTTCTTTCAAACATTTTATTAAAATCTGGCCGTTTTCAGTTACAGTATCCTAGTTGGAAAAGAGATAATAATAGAATGATTAATAATAACAGTAAAAACGGTATCATAGATTTTTTTTCCCACATGTTTAATTCTCATAGCAAACTCATTACATTGAGGCTGTTACTCCAGTTTCATTGATGAAGAGCCTAAAACACAGACAGGGGCCCGCAGCCAGTGTGGCGAAGGCAGGGTCTGAGCTGCATCATGGTCCCAGTGCTGTGTGTGTCAGGTGTATAGGGAAGTTCCCTCCTTAATTCCTTCAAGCTTCAGCCTCCTGTCTGCTAACAAAAGCAAGAACTGCTTCATCAGGTGTTGTGTTCTGATGAGCAGACGCAGGCGTGACCATTGCCCACCGTCCCCGCCACTAAATATCTTCTGGTTCTCAATCATCTTCTCAGAATAATTCCTTTAATTCTGCAGAGTTGATTCACTTTCACCTTTAAGAAGTGACTGTTTCTCTGTTGTTTGTGGCACAAATTTTAACAGTTATTTTTAAATGATTTTATTTAGTTCTTAAGGATCTTCAAAATATTCTTAAACAGACTTAAATTTACAACAGTGTGGCTCACTGATAAATTTTTACCTTCAATATGAATTTGGTTAAATTCAAAAATTTTTATGTGATCTAGGACTGTACTCTGTTGGATGAGGTTGCCATTTGACCTATGTTATATTTAAAGGTGTTTTTGGATGCTTAATTATAGATAAGAGAAGTAAGCCAACTGATATTTTTGCAATTGGCTTTGAAGAAATGGTGGAGCTGAATGCTGGGAACATTGTGAATGCAAGGTGAGCTAGCTTGGTAACAGCACTGGAAAGACAAGTAAATGAGTTGTTACAATGATGGAACTGAGAAAATATGTGGAAAGGTACTTTTTAAACTGTAAATAGCAGTTTTCAATATTTTTGGTATGAGTCTTTTTCTAAACTTAAAATACTGATATTATATTAGAAATTAAGACTGAAAATATAAATAATTATATTAAAATAACAGGAACTGGCAAGATGGCTTTTCTCCAAACCTGCTGACCTGAGTTTGATTCTGGAACCACTATAAAAAGGAGAGGGAGAAAGCAGCTCTGCAGAGTTGACTGCTGCCCTCCAGGTGTGCACTGTAGTGCACATGGCCATGCATGCACATACCATACAGCAACGATAGAGAGCCTGTGACAGTTAACATACATTTCCCCCTCTCCTTTCTTAACATGTCTAAATCAGAAGTTTACTAGGAAGCATGGCATTGTTTTACAGGTTTTACAGATCACTTAATGTCTACATTGAGAAACCTGGATTCTTACATATGCTCTGTGTACTTCCATATTGTGCTGCAATATTGTTATGAGTGAGTTACATGAAGAAAAATCAGATAAAATACAGTTGGAAAAATACTTTGATAACCTTTCTAGAAAATGTCTGCTTTGTTAGGTACTGTATAAAAACTGAATAAATTGTAGTACCTCTTAAAGGTTAGTTGAAAACAGAATCTAAAACCTTGTTAGTGAACTTTGAAAAAACAGATTTGTTTGTTTGTATGTATATTAGTGTTTTTCCTTTGTGTATGTGAGCCACATACAGGCGCTGCCTGCAGAGGTCAGAAGAGGCCATCAGATGCTCCTGAGACTGGAGTTAGAGATGGCTAGGAGCCATCATGTATGTGAGTGCTGGGGACTGAATGTGCTTGTAACTGCTGAGCACCTCAACACGATTAGTGAGCTTTCTGTGCTTTTGTTGTACTAAAATCTCTTTCTCTTCCATGGAGTGGTCTAGAACACTGTGTGTTGGTCATTTAGAAAAGTTCACTGTGTATGTAGATATTCCTAATTTTGACACATCTTCAGTGTGAGTGTACTGTTTTGGTTGGTATCATCAATGGATATTTCATCAAAATCTTCAACTATTAGGTAGCAGTAAAGATTATAGTAGCTAATATAAGTTTTATAAAAATTCTCACTTTTGCTTGAAAATACAACTTTTGGGCCAGCAAGCTAGGTCAGCAGATAAGGATATTTGCCACCAAGCCTGATGACCTAGTTGGACCACTAGAATCCACATGGTAAAAGTGAAAAGCCAATTCCTACAAGTTGTCTTCTGATTTGTTCCCCTCCCCCCGCCCCCCACACACATTGGTACACTACACCAATGTAAAAAATAACTTAAAAATATAGAAGAAAATTTCAAGGCTTTTTGTTGTTGTTGTTTGTGTTGTTTTTTTGGGGGGGGGGGTTGGGTGGTTTTGTTTTGTTTTGTTTTTACTCTAGAGTTGTCTTTTTCAGACAAGGACCCAGTCTGGCCACAAACTAGCCATGTAGTTGGGGCTGGTCTTAAATTTCTGATTCTTCTGCCTCTGTCTCCCAAGTGCTGAGTTCCAGGTGAGAATGCAACCCCACTTTATCCACAGATGGGATTGAGCCCAGGGCTCTGTGCATGCTAGACAAACTCTATGCTGACTGAGCTATGTCCCCTGGTCTTCAGATTGTGTTCTTAGATGTTAATACTATCACTTGTTTTCCTTATAACAAATAGGACAGGCTGAAGAAATGACTCCCGATAGTGTCAGCCCAAGTGATCACACCCTGAGTAGTTCTTTCAAGGAATGTATGCTATGAGAGGTAGCAGGGAGCTCACAGCCCAGAACGGCAGGGGCTTCCACTCAGTGATTAGAGAACTCAGAACCTGAAGAGGCAGCTCACAGGTGGACTTGAGTGAGACCAGTAATATTCACCACTTCCCTAGAGCCAAGCCAGCCTGTTAAACCTTTGGATATTTTTACAGTTTAGTTGAATAGTTGATATCAGTTCTTTCTGAAGCTTAATTATAATAGCCTGAATATTTTATAGCTCTTAGTGAAGTAATAGGTGTGTACACTGATCATCAGTAGATGATGTTGATTGATATTGTGCCCTGAAGAACAGCCATGAGCAACTCTATAAAGAATGTATTAGCCCCATTTTGCCAAAAGAAGTAAAGCTGACCTTGTTTCTCAATTTTAGGTGATATTAAGGTTTACTGTGTGAAGATGGTATTGTAGTTTTTATAAAGATGAAAATCTCCATTGTATTAAAGACATAAAAGTAATTATGAGTGAAATGGTATATGTCTTAGATTTGGCCTAAAATACCTCAGGTCTATAAGAAGGAGGGAAGGAGAGAGATTTTGGAGCTAAATATTGGTATATGGTTAACTTTACAGTTAACCACTTGTAGGCGTTTAAATTTTTCCATAATTATTTTTAAAATTTTTCTTAAATTAAAAATAAAATTAGTTTAGGGGACTGGAGAGGTAACTCAGCAGTTAAGATCTCTTGCTGCTCTTCCAGTGAACCAAAGTTCAGTTCCCAGCATCCATATCAGGTGGCTCACAACAACTTATAACTCTGTCTCCAAGACTTTTAATGCCTGTCTCTGGCCTCCTTAGGCACCTATACATGCATGACATACATACATCACATACACACACACACACACACACACACACCAAGTAGTTTTTAAATAAATAAAATTTAAATTCATGAAATAAGATAAGTGGGGGGTGAGACAAAGTGATGTGTAGAAGTACATGTTTCTCATTAGCATAATTACATTAAAGTGTAAAGTTTGAGTCACTCACCTCACATCTCTTTTTAACTCATTTACATCTCTTTTGTTGTTTTGTTTCTTGGTGGTTTTTATTTTAGCATTATTTGTTTGGGTGCATGTGTGTATGAAGACACACATATGCAGTGGTGTACATGCAGAGGTCAGAGGATAACCTCAGGGTCAGTTCTCTCCTTCCCCAAGAGTCATGGGGATTGAACTCAGGTTGTCAGGCTTGGCCATGGTACCTTTACATGGTGTGCCATCTCACTAAACCCATATCTCCTCATGGATGAGTCATAAATTTTGAAACACTGTATTATTTTGGTTAAGCTGCACATTTTTAACAGAAACAAAACGCAGCTTGCATGAAAATTCTTTAAGAAATCAGATGTATAAAAGTACATATAAACGTTCCTTAACGTTTCCCTCTGTAATGCTTTGGTAGCACAACAAACCAGAAGCTGTGGGCAGTGGAACTGCAGAAGACCATCTCTAGAGACAACAAGTATGTTCTGCTGGCTTCAGAGCAGTTGGTGGGTGTCTGCCTGTTTGTCTTTATCAGACCACAGCATGCTCCCTTTATCAGGTCAGTGACAGACACCGTTCTCTCTTCTCACTACATGACAAGAAAGGTCCTAACAAGTGTGATGTCATCTCTTGCATTCATAATTTTTGTTTTGTAGAGATGTTGCAGTTGATACTGTGAAAACTGGGATGGGAGGTGCAACTGGAAATAAGGGTGCTGTTGCAATTCGGATGCTCTTCCACACCACCAGCCTTTGCTTCGTCTGCAGCCACTTTGCTGCAGGGCAGTCCCAAGTCAAAGAGAGAAATGAAGATTTTGTAGAAATAGCACGAAAACTGAGTTTTCCCATGGTAAGCTTCTGCTGTTTATTCTTTATGACAAACCTTTGCATTGTATTTCAGTTTATCCTACATTTTCTGTCAGCAGTTTTGAAGATTTAAAGCAGTCCTTAGAGACACCAACAATGTTCGTCTACTTCATGTCTGCTGTCTTGTACTATTGGGCTCAAGGTGTAATGTTGATAGTGCAACCCCCATGAAGCAGAGAGACAGTGGGACACACGGGTTGTTTAGAACTTCAGGTGCTGTCTCCTGTTTCCAGGGAAGAATGCTCTTCTCTCATGACTATGTATTTTGGTGTGGTGATTTCAACTATCGAATTGATCTTCCTAATGAAGAAGTTAAAGAACTCATAAGACAGCAAAACTGGGATTCTCTTATAGCTGGAGATCAACTCATCAATCAGAAAAATGCAGGACAGGTAAGTACATACTGAGAAGATAATTGTCTTACAAAAGGGACTTTTGGAGGGCTAGGGACATGGGTCAGCAATTAAGTGCACTCACTGCTCTTGCAAAAAACCCAGGTTCAGTTCCCAGCAGCCACACGTTGGGCAGCTCACAACCACCGTAACTCCAGGTCCAGAGGATTCTCCTTCTGGCCTCCTGCACATTACATGATACACAGTAGACAAGTAGGCATATAAAAAGATACACAGAAATAAAAAGGAATATAAGTTTTCTTTTCCAGAGAGAGACAGAGAAAGAGAGAGAATATGAATATTTGGGGACCGAGGAGATAAGAATGGGGTTAAAGCACCTACCATTCAATGCTGAAGTTTGATCTTCAGCACCTACACAGAAAGCCCCAGGTAAAAGCTTGGTGCAGTGGCATGCACCTGCCATCCTTAGGCAGCTAGGAAGCAGACACGAGAACCAGTCAATTGCCAGAAGGCTTTTACCAGCCAGCTTGGAGTAAAACTGTAGAATCAAGATAAATCCTGCCTCATTGAGATAGAAGGGGAGAACCAACTACCAAAAGTTGTCCTTTGACCTCCACATGTGTCTTGTGGCATGTATATGCCCTCTTCACTCAACACACTCACATATAAAATTATAAATATACACACGATAAAGAAAAGTTGTAAAAGGAGGGTATAAATTTTAACAGTTAAACATATTTTATTTCATTTCTATATTTGTTGGGAGTTGTTTATACATCTGTAGCTAAACATTGAATTATTTTTTTCTTGAAAGAATGAAAGAAAAGAAGAAAAGAAAGGGAAGAGAATATTTTTTTAAAAGTTTATAATTCTTCCTAGGAAGAAAATACATTAATGTGTTTGTAAGATGCACTGTCAAGCAGAAGTCTTATAATTGTAGGGATGGTAATAATGTGGACTCTCAGATTAAGTAGATGAGGCAGAAAGAGTGTGTAGGTAACAGGATGAGGGGTGCCGAGACACAGCACAGCTCCGGCAGTCATGAACTTAGCAGCTGAAGTAAGTTGCCTGCATAGAGCCTACATAGGACCAAGCCAGCCAGAGTTGCAGTATGGAGAGGCTGGATGACTCCAGGCCCGTCCCTTATGGAGGAGCCATTGGCAACTGAGAGTTACTGCAGGAGGGAGAACCTTTTTTTTTTTTTTTTTAAGATCTGGCCTTGGGTAGGTTTTCCGTGCTCTAGTACACTGATTCTCCACCTCTAGGTCACCACTCTTTGGGAGTCACGTACCAGATAGTTTCATTAGGATTCATAACAGTAGCAAAATTACAGTTGTGAGGTAGCAACGAAAATAATGCTAAGGCTGGAGGTCAGCACAGGAGGAGCTGTGCTAAAGGGTCACAGTGTTAGGGAGGGTAAGGGCCACTGTGACAGTGGATGTCCCCACACCCATGCACTAGTACAGCACCCAGTGGATATCATGAGTTGTCAAAAAGGAAGACATGCTGCTGAGAGGGACGGGGGAGAGTTGAAGAGGGCAATAGAGGTCATACATGATCATGTTTCATTGCATACATGGATTCTCAAAGACCAAGAAAAATGTTTAAAATTTAAATAAAAGCATAAACGTTTATGTGTTTTGAAAAAAAAACTTTGTGTATGTTTATTTTAGATCTTTAGAGGATTTTTAGAGGGAAAAGTAACATTTGCTCCAACCTATAAATATGACTTGTTTTCCGAAGACTATGACACCAGTGAGAAGTGCCGTACCCCTGCTTGGACAGACCGTGTCCTTTGGAGAAGGAGGAAGTGGCCTTTTGACAGATCAGGTTAGGAGTGGAGTTTTTATTTAGGTAAAAAATTAATCTGAATATTGTGAGAAGGAAGAAAGGAGCTATAAATATTAAGCAACAAAAAGCTTTTTTATGCATATGCTATCTAGTATAAAACAAACATTTTGAAAACATTTTATGCCCATTTTTTTCAGTGACATGATTTCTTGTAAAGTAAAGAAACATTTATTTTGTAAAATTCCTGATTGCAGCCCTGAAATTGTGGTTTTTGAATGACCTTTTGGTCATTATGAACTTTTATGAAACATTGTTTAGTCCCAGGCCTTTAAGTAATTTTAGAAGTAAACAGCATCTTAATTCTTCTCAAGTAAAGACTAAAATAACTTGACCAAATATATTTCTTGGTGAAAGAGTGTAATACTGGCTGCTTCTGGCATTCTAGCCTCAGACTGCTGAAGGTTCTAGACGGAAGTAGGCACTTACAGGTGTCACATGGCCTGCCTGTCCTTCTCATGTTGCTTCTCTTAAGTTGTCTTTTGTTCTAATGCAGCTGAAGATTTAGATCTTCTGAATGCTAGTTTCCAAGACGAAAGTAAAATCCTTTATACATGGACTCCTGGCACCTTGCTGCACTATGGGAGAGCCGAGCTGAAGACTTCTGACCACAGGTTTAAACCACCTCAGTTTTTCTAATGATGCTTGAAGTTTGTTTGAAATAAATCCCTTTAGAAACATTTCTAACACATCTGCCTTCCTCTGTGCCTTAAGGCCCGTTGTTGCCCTGATTGATATAGATATATTTGAAGTTGAAGCTGAAGAGAGGCAAAAAATTTATAAAGAGGTTATTGCAGTCCAGGGCCCACCAGATGGTACAGTGATGGTCTCAATCAAAAGCTCTGCACAAGAAAATACCTTTTTTGATGATGCTTTGATTGATGAGCTTCTGCAGCAGTTTGCACACTTTGGTGAAGTTATACTCATAAGGTGAGTGAGGGGTTTGTGACCCAGAGTGCATGTAAATAAGTGGTACATTGGAAAGCCTGATCTAGTGACTGACTCCTTCATAAATCTGATATTTCCAGACTAAAGAGCTATACTTGGGATGTTATTCAAGAGATCCTGGGTTTTGAAGTAGTTTCTCTACTTAGAAAACTTAAAATGAATAATGAAACTTACACGAACTATTGGAGACAAAGCTATGTTTGCGTTTAGGAATGACCTCTACATGGTTCCTCTACAGTGGAGCACTGTAGCAAGCTCTGTGTGAGAGGAAAGCTATGCTTGGTCAGTTTAGTGTTTTAAGGAGAGAAAAGTAAAGGCTTGAATGGTGCACACCAGTCCTCTAGGATTCAAAAGGCAGAAGGACAATCACTTCAAGGCCAGTATAATCTACATAGAGAGTATATAAATAAATAACTTCTTTAATAAGTAAATGGCCTAGAGGGATTTTTTTTATTCCCTAAGCTTAAGAAATGAGATGTTTATATTATAAATATCATTATAAATGATAAATGTTCCGTTTCCAGCCAGCTGAGATGTGATGGGTAGGAGCCATCTGTTGCAGTCTCGGTCCCTGGGCTGACTTCCCCACCTGCTTTCTGCAGGGCTGCAGGCCTCTTGTCTTAGCAGGGTTTTCTTTCACATGTTCAACTGTTTTGGGAAGTTGGATTTCATGTGTGTCTTTTAATTCCTCTGTATGTTGTTCATTTGCTTCTTTGAGGATATTTTATTTGTATTCGGTAGGCAAACCTCTATATGATACGGTACTGTAGAAGAGCAGAGAACTTCAAGGCATGGCTCTGCTTATAATCTATTTGGAGAAGTCACTGTAGTGGCTTCTTCTCCAGATCCATAGAGTGACGATGGGATAGTTTCTGTAGGGTGGAATTCACCTGAGACACATCAGGTCTTTTCAGGGAGCAGAGGAACAAATGAAAAACAAAAATTGGCATTTTTTTTAAAGATTTATTTATTTATTATATGTAAGTACACTGTCGCTATCTTCAGACACCCATATGAGGGCATCAGATCTCATTGCAGATGGTTGTGAGCCACCATGTGGTTGCTGGGATTTGAACTCATGACCTCTAGAAGAGCAGTCAGTGCTCTTAACCGCTGAGCCATCTCACCAGCCCAAAAATTGGCATTTTTTTTTGATAGGTCCTTTGATTTTTCTTACCCATCCTCCAATCTTTGAGAGCATTCTATTTTAAATCTTCAAAATCTTATAAAACCTGAGCCTGAGAGATGGCTCAGTGCACAAAGGTACTGTCTCAGTTCCACACTTGGGACCCATGTCAAGGAGGAAGGAGAGAGCCGACTCCACAGAGTTGTCCTCTGATCTCCACATGCATGCCCTGGCAATAATGAATTCATTTGTTTCTAAAAGACTTAAGAACTTAAGGCTTTAGAAAGTACACTTTAAAATCTCCCACATTTACAGATAACAGTAAGCCTTGCCAAGCATAGAAATGTCAGAGCACCAGAAGCATCTGTGAAGTGTGAGTGGGCAGCAGATAGCTTCATGAACAAATGTAAACTACAGCATTGAGCTAGAAGACTCTAAACTGTATAAGGGAAAGAGACGGGTAAAGGAGAAGAGACTTGTGGGTTTTTAACTCACTGGGGGTCTTCCTAATTCAGATTGAAGCTAAAAGCTTTCCTCAGAATATTGTCAACATTAGAGAGAACATTGATAAGAAAATTATCTGTTGCTGGGATAGAAAGCCATAGGTGTCAAGACAGGGTACTCTGTCACACCAATGGTACCAAGGTGATAAACAAAAGCAGATACAGGAAAGAAGGTGGGTGTGTGGTGTACAGCTATGGTCATGGCGCAGTAACCAAAGAACAGGGTTGCAGCTAACAACAGTCTTAAAGAGGGGTGTCCTCCATGGCAGCCACAGGGTAGTACTTAAGTAAGAATACCATCCCTGTGTATTTCGAATGCCAACATTCCTGTAACTTACTAGCTTCCTGCCAGAGAAGCTGAGTCAGTTGTCTCGGGAATATCGGATTGTAAGCTGTATTCCATGTGCACCTGATTTCAGTAGAGGAAAGTAGTTTGGCACACTTTTATTTGCATCTTTTTTTAACCCTTAAACCCATAATCTTTTAGACTGTGAGCATAAGAAAGGTTTGCTCCATATAGTTGGGAAAATTCAGTTTGCAAAATTGCTTCTGTATATCAGATGGATAACATTGTTTGATATTTTTTTTGTTATAAACTTCATTATATAATCAGTGACTTCAAAATATGTCCTTTGTTTCCTTTTTTTCCCTTTTTAAGGGGGGGAGGGCTTTGGGGGGGGGGAGCCTGTATCTTGTTTCCAGAGTATAAACTTGGAATCATAGCAAAGACTCAGGAAGAAATGTCTGTGCAGACAAACCCCCTAACCTGCAGCTCCTTGAGACCAGCTAGCTGGGTTATTTGGGGATTCCTTCTCGTTAACATAATCTATTAAAATATCTATTATCTTTCTTAATCAGAGGAAATGACCTTCAGGAAAGTCACTGAAACACTGGAAATACATAGTTCCTGACTGCGTTGCGTCACCCTGAAGGGGTGAAACCCTGCGTTGGTTTCTCCTGCCTGTGTTTCTCACACAGTAAAGGAAGCAGGACAGAAGTGCTGTGTGCAGAGAGCAGCCTCCTCTAAGAAGCAGCCCAGTGGCCACCAGGCTCTCTTTTGGCCCCAGCTGTTCATTCGTAACCAGTGGCTAGAAATTGAGCTATGTCTGAGAAGTTAATTATATTCTTCTTCACTGTTTTTTCTTCTTTCTCTTAAAGATTTGTAGAAGATAAAATGTGGGTTACATTTTTGGAGGGAAGCTCCGCCTTGAATGTTCTGAGCCTAAATGGTAAAGAGGTAAGGTAGATTTGGTGATCCTAAACCGTCTGAAGTATGTCTCAAGATTGTAGTTCTACAGACAAGCAAATTGAATGTCTAGATATATTTTCAGTTAAGGAAAATTGAAGACCATGAACTGCATAAGGGTTACTTAATATTTTTATTTAGATTAGTTTTCTGCCTAGCCTAAGATTATTTTACTTTTCCCTTCGAGATATTAACCATTGACAGAAAAGGAAAACATGTTCCCTGCCTAATTTGATTTCTATGATATAAATATCAAATATTGTATAATATATAATATATAAATTATTATAAAATTTTCATTAAAAGTAGATATTCCATCTTGTCTACATTGCTACCAAGTGGAGAACATGCTTTATTTACAAGACCATGAGACAGAAGGAGCAGAAGGTCCTTATCTTTCCCAGGGAGTTACTCATAAGTGGCCAAGGAAAGACTTTGGTGTCTGGTGCCCTTTTCCAGCATGGATACATAATTTCCTCAGATAGCAAGCATCCACATTGTAGCATTTTCAAATTTAACTACTGGGGATGTTTCTAGTCTGTGATTTGAAATGTCACTGATGGGGAACTTATACTGGTGATGACCTGGTGTAATTTTGTTTCTGTGAAATGTTGCATCTGTCAATTTTTTAGGAATTATTTTTCTTTTTTTATCAAAATCTGCATTGCTAATTGTATGATCCATAGGTACAATAGATTGAATTCTAGATTTCATTTCTTCAACAGTGAGCAACTCCCTCAGGCATTTACCAGCCTTTTCTTGTCATGCTAATTTGCTTCCTTAAAGAAGAATATTTGCATGTTTATATTGCCTGAGGTTGGTTTGTCTGTTTTTTAATGCAGTACTAATATATTCTTGTCAAAATGATAAAAAAAAAATACTTTGAGCTGGAAGCTACCCACAGAATTGCCAACTGTCAGCACAGTGTATTGACCATAACTATGCATATCATTTGTAAACATTTTAAAAGTTTAATCTTCTTCCCACTATAGAACTCTTTAAACATAAGAAAGTTGAAACTGTAAGAAAGAGCTTGTAACTGGGAAGCCGGTGTCTTATATGTTGTGGACTTAAGTGAGAGTGTATGTCATCATCATGTCCGTGATGAAGGAGTCTACTTTTCCCAACAATAAATTTTTGAAGGATTTTAAAAAAAAATACAATGAGATACAGTGTAACTTGATTATTACATGTTGGTGTTTATCAATCATCCTTAGATCTAAAAGTCACTTAAATGTATAAGGAAAGCTGAGGGTATGCTTTACATGGTGCGGCCATTCCAGTTCCACAGCAGTTCATTTTTGTAGAAGATTCAAAATAATCTTCACACCACATTCTCCTGACATTTGAAATGCTAAAAGCATAGGTTAGCACATAGCAGCAGCGTACAGTGGGGCAGCTCTCAGGACTATTGCACCAAGTGTGCGAGAACCAAACAACAGCAAGTGCATGCTCAAGACCCTTTGTCTCTTCTGTGGTTATTTCAGTGTGGGAACTGTTATTTAATTTATGGATCCAAACCAAAATTACATAGCAGATTATCAGTGGTTTATATTTGGCCAGGAAGAGATACTAGCTAGAGTAAAGGAATCTTTTTGTTTGTTTGTTTTTGTTTGTTTGTTTGTTCGTTTTTCCGAGACAGGGTTTCTCTGTATAGCCCTGGCTGTCCTGGAACTAACTCCATAGACCAAGCTGGCCTCGAACTCAGAAATCCGCCTGCCTCTGCCTCCCAAGTTCTGGGATTAAAGGCGTGCGTGACCACTGCCTGGCAGAGTAAAGGAATCTTAACTATTTTTATTTGGCATCATAAGCTCTTAAAGGCAGAATGTGAACTGCCTTCACATGGAAAATTTTAGTATGTGTGGTCTAACATAGGCACCCTTCTCCCACAATAGTTTTCATGTTAATAAATGTTCTGTATCTTTTTTTTTTATTTCAACTAGTTATTAAATCGGACTATAACCATTACTTTAAAAAGTCCAGATTGGATCAAAAATCTGGAAGAAGAGATGAGCTTAGAGAAGATCAGTGTCACGTTGCCCTCGTCCACAAGCTCCACCCTGCTCGGTGAAGACGCCGAGGTCACAGCAGACTTTGACATGGAAGGTCTGTGTGTTGACCAGACTTATTCTGCATGTTAGAGACGTTCGTCCCAGCACTGATGACTTAATATCCTGGTTTCTCTCTCTCCTTGAGCACAGTATTGTGATATGTTTTCTATAGTATAATGTTTATCTGATTGCATTATTCTTGGTAATTTATATGCTATTTTGTCATTAAATAGTAAATATAATTGCATATTTTAGTTTATATTGTCTGATAAAAGCATGAATTGGTATTTTGAATGTGCTGGTTTGTGCCAAAATTATAGTTAAGTAGATGTTTTAATAAGTTCATAATTATTTAAAAAGAAGACATGTTCCAAAGGAGTGTAGAAAGAGTCCAGGTGGCTCAATGGAACTGAACCCATGCGTAAAAAGGTAGCGACTTCAGTTGAGACTTGAGACAAATTGTGTGGGTATTGTCGTTTTCTTAAACATTATTTGAAAGTTCATTTGCTTTCTAACATTATATGTTATATGTGTGAGCATACTTTTCATTAGGATTTAGCTCTGTGATAGAGTGAATGATTAATGTCTATAAGGCCCTGATTCTATCACTAGCCTTTCCAAAAAGGCATACCTGACTCTGCACTGCAAGATAGTACATTGAAGTTAATCATCTTTTAAGATAATCACTAGCTTTTGTATTGGTCATTTACTTGATCCACAAATATGCACTCTTTGTGTACTACCTTATGTTGGTTCCTTTTCTAGTTGTGACTAAATCCCCTATAGAAACAGAGTACAGAAAGTATATTTATTTTGGCTCATGATTTCAAAGGTTCAGTCCTTGATTGATTGGTCCATACACTTGGAGGAGCATCATAGAGGCAGGAACAGATGGTAGAAGCTGGTCTTCCCTTCTTAGCGACCAAGAAAAAGGGCACATGCAAGAAGAGGCCAGGGCATGAAGTAGACCCCATAGACAAGCTCCTGCTCACCTAGTTGCTCCAGCTAGGTCATAGATCCTACTCTTTACTACTTTGTAATAATGCCGTCATCTTCTGCACCCATCAGGCACAGTGCATCCATCATGTCAGAGTTGTCTTACCTAGTCACCTCAGGGTACTCTCATAGACACAGCCAGAGATGGGCTCCAGTGATTCCCTCGCTGCATCTGCATAGGCCATCAAGTTGAGTCAAAATTAACCACCATAGAGATGCATGCCAAATGCTGCAAACTCCGTGAGCATGTCTTTGTTTCTCCCTTCTAGAACTCACTGTTTTCTAGGTACAGGTATGCAGGCAATCACAATAAGGTTGTCAGTGTAATAGTGAGTAGTTGTGTGGTAGTTCATGGGAATGGTTTCAATTTTCCAATTTAAAAGAAAAATCAAGGTGCTGGAGAGATTGCTCAGTGCTTGAGAGCACTGGCTGCTCTTGTAGAAGACCCAGCATCCACATGGTGAGTCTGTAGCTCCAGTTTCAGGGGCTCTGACACCCTCTTGTGGTCTCTTCAGTCACCACATTCATGTTACACATACATGCATGCAATCAGAACACTCATAAAAAATAAAACTATTTTTAAAAGTCAACTTTTCACAAGCGACTGTCTGTGAATCTGAGGCCAGCCTGGTCTACAAAGCGAGTCCAGGACAGCCTGGGCTCTGTTACAGGGAAACCCTGTCTCAAACACACACACACACAGTCAAGAAAAGAAAGTATAACCAGAAAGAAATGGTCCATGATATCTCACTTCGGAAAGACGAGGGAGAAAATAAGGACAGACCCATGTCTGACGTAGGAGCAGTGAGGGAGGCTGTTAGTGACCTTTGTAAGATTAAGTTTGGTGGTATGGTAAAGCCGGGTGGCGAGATCTGCTGTGGGCGGAAGGTGAAGAAGTAGGGCTATAGAACAGTCCCTTCTCAATGGGAGGAGCCTGAGAGCTTCATGCTGCTGGAAGGGGCTGGTACAGAGAAAGCTAAGGGTGTGAGAGGGTTGGCAGAATGACACCAAGGTTTCTGAGGACAGTGGGGTGTCCTGGACCCCATGCATTAGGGTAGGCTGTGTCATGCCCCAGCATCGGTGAGAATGTGTGGTGAGAATGCAGCTTGCACGAGGTAATTGTGGAGGCTCTGTCCTGAGACTTCTGTCAGGTTTATGTATGCACATCATTAGCAGGAGTGGGAAAACCCACAGTTTCAGGGGACTTGAGACACTTTGAAATAATGTATCTGGCAAAAAGGAATGAGAGGAGTAACCAACCAGGAACTCTTAGAATTTCCAGGCAACTTGGGGAACCCAGAGGAGATTGAAACTACAAACATTGTTAATGCGACTGTGAAAACTTTGTGGTGTTTCTTCAAGAAGTGACACTCACAGACAAGTGCAGTTACAGAGGTGTGAGGTGTGGATGGGGATTGATAGGGTTTGTCATTTACAGGCAGCGGGAGAGCCATAGCGAACATTGAAGACAAACGCAGAAGGGATCAGATTGGACAGGGCTGAAGTGCAAGGGAGCAAGCCCTAGCTCTGCGGAAGGGCTGAAAGAATGAAGTACTACTGTAGGTTAAGACCCAGAGGTCGTATAGCTGAGGGAACAGTGGCCACAGTGTGGAAGTAGCCCTGTCACTGAGGACAATACTGAGCTGTTCAGATTGCCATACATGCTGTCCATAGGACTTCTGTGTATGCAAAAAGTGGTAGGGCCCACTGACCGTGGTGCTTTCTGCTTAGTCCTGAATGGCTTACTAGATGGTAGCTCAGTCACTGGAAGGGCAGAAAGTGGAGACCGCTGAAGAAGGTGAGATAAAGGGTGTCTCATAGACTCCTGGTGACATAGCCTTAAAAAGGTAGGACTTGGAATGAAAGCTAGTGTTGTAGTTTGTGAATCCTGTTGCATGGGGTAAGTGGAGATGAAACCTGATGGGAGAAATGGATCTATGTTGAGTGAAAAGGCTTGAAATAGGAGACGTCTGGCTAAGGGTGTATGACTGCCCATGACCTAGTTTACTGTTAGGTTGGACCTGGGTTGGGCAGGGAGTAGAGGAGGTCACACAGAACACATGGGCAAAGTTGGCTTCATAGCTGCTCGGCTAATAGAGCTTTCAGTCAGGCAAGCTCCAAGTGCACCTGCACCAGAAGAAATGGACATCTTTAGGTTCTCTGTAAGAGCGTTTGTACTGACTCTAATTTTTCTGTTTATATTTTTACATCCCTTTATGCTTATTCCATGTGTGTTGGTGATATCTGAATATTTAACTTGTCTTTTAGCCCTGTAAAGCCTGTAAAAATGAAAAGTTAAAAGGTGCTGTCTTTGGTGGCCTTGCTTTTGTCAGGTGATGTCGATGACTATAGTGCTGAAGTAGAGGAGCTTCTTCCTCAGCATCTACAACCATCCTCAAGTTCTGGCCTTGGCACTTCTCCAAGCTCTTCACCCCGGACCAGTCCCTGCCAGTCACCAACAGTACCAGAGTACTCTGCACCTTCTCTTCCTGTCAGACCTAGTCGAGCACCATCAAGAGCTCCAGGACCTCTAAGTTCACAGGGTGCGTGTTTTATTTGAAATATTTGTGTGACTTTGTCTAGACAGTTTGTTTGAACCTTGGAAGACTATTGTATCCTCATTTGCTTTCTGTTGCTGTGATAAAGTATTGACTGTGATGGCTGGTCTTATGTCAGCTTGACACACAAACTAGAGTTTTCTGAAAGGAGGGAACCTTAATTAAGAAAATGCCTCCATAAGACCCAGCTGTAGGGACTTTTCATAATTAGTGGTTCATGGGGGAGGTTCCAGCTCATTGTAGGTAGTGTTGTCTCTGAGCTGGTGGCCCTGGGGTTCTATAAAAAAGCAGACTGAGCAAGCCAGGGGGAGCAAGCCAGTAAGAAGCACCCTTCCATGGCCTCTGCATCAGCTCCTGTCTTCAGGTTCCTGCCCTGATTTCCTTCAATGATGAACAGTAATATGGAAGTATAAGTCAGCCAGTTGTGGTGGCACACACTGGTAGGATTTGCTGAAGGAGGCAGAGGTGGGAGGATCATGAGTTTGAGGCCAGCCTGGGAAGTGTAAGCCAAATAAGCTCTTTCCTCCTCAACTTGTTTTTTGCTCATGGTGTTTCATCACAGCAATAGAATCCCTAATACCGAAGCCAGCTTGGGGAGGGAAGGGTTTATTTGGTTTACAGGTAATTAAGGGAAGCCAGAAGCTCAAGGCATGAATCTGGAGGCAGGAGCTGATGCAGAGGCTTGCTCACAATGGCTAACCCAGCCTGCTTTCCTGTTCCTCCTGGACCACCTGCCCAAGGGTAGTACCACCCACACGGTCTGGCCCCATCAATCATTAATCAAGGAAGTTGGCCTGCAAGCCAGTCTGACATAGGCAATTCCTCAGTGGGAGCTCCTTTCCCCCCAGTGACTCTAACTTATATCAAGTTGACAAAAACTAACCAGCACATGTTTTTTAGACTTTATCCCATGTCCTAAGTGCCCTGTAGACAGGAGTGGACTTCCTGACAGTAACTCTTAGTGGAGAAGAGTTCTGTCCTTGCTGCTACTAGACGATTTGTCTCAGTCCTGTTTATGTGTTCTACAACGTGTGATTTCCTATCCTACGATAGAAACACTTGACTGTTTGGGCTTTCCCCTCTCTTCTTTGCTGGCCAGCAAGTTATGTATGACTTAACTCAAACAGTACATTTTGTCCCTTAATAGTCCTCCTCAGTAAGTCAGCACCTCAGCCAAGTAAAAGTCAGCACAGGGCAGCATTGTGGTTCCAGAAGGGATTCCATGGTAGACTGCTGCTTTAGTCACAGGAAAGTGCTTTATTTTTTTCTTTAATGCACAGAATTTTTAGAGGAGAAAATTGGGTCATTTAATTATGTATGCACATTCCGTGTCACAAGCTCCCGCTTGGTACCTGACCTCACCTACTCATTTTCTTAGGCTCTCCAGTTGACACTCAGCCAACAACCCAGAAGGATTCTTCCCAGACCATAGAACCCAAGAGGCCACCCCCTCCTCGACCAGTTGCTCCTCCAGCACGTCCTGCCCCACCACAGAGACCACCTCCACCTTCAGGTAACCAACTACTCTTCGGATGCCTGTTTAACATAAAATTTTCCTCTACTTCATTTAAACGCATTGTGCATGTTTTCATCTGTATCCTCTGGGTTTGGTTTGTGTGCTTATGTGATCATTATTGTTACCTCTTGAGCTTGTCTAAAAGGAACTCTGAGGAGCAGCAGACCAGTGTGTCTGTCAAGCAGGTTCCATGAGCACGGTCACGCTGCCTCCTTGCCTTGCACAGGAGATGCTTGCTTGGGTCTTGGTACTTTGACATGGTTGGACATGTATGATGTTCTTGGATAAAACTTTAATTTTTTAAAATTTTCTCATCTGTAGCTTTATAAAGACAATTAACATTTATTAATTTCTAGAAAATGTATTTTAGAACTGAAGAACATACATGTGTTTAATATGTTTTATATACCTCTTTAAGTGTTCTCTCAGCTAAATGCAATGTTCACTTCTTGTGAGCATATGCATTGAATAACAGCTTTGTGTAATGTCTAGATATTTACACAATCATACATGCTGTGTGCTTTTATGACTATTAGAGCAGATTTTGACATTTCAACTCTTTATTTAATGTCATTCCCTTTCTGCTGCCTAATTTCTTATGAACTGTAAGGGGCTAGGAGTCCTGCGCCTGCTAGAAAAGAATTTGGAGGTAACCATTTACATTTGCTATCCTGTGTGAATGCTGGGTTATTAATACTTTGGAGTTTGAACCCTGTAACTCAGACAGTTTAAGTCTGTTTGGTAGGCATCAAAATGTGTGGCATTTATACTCCATGTAAAAGAGCTCCAAACTTCTATATTCCTGATAACACATTACAGAGTAGTTACTCTGTGAGTATAACTGATAAACTATGTCTTATTTTGCATTTTGAATAAATCATCAATTCTTGTCTCATCTGTTTATGTAAAACTATAAAAATTTTTATTCTTTTCAATGAGGTCATTTGTATTTACTATTGGATGCTTTTATTTAAAAAGTAATTTGTCTCATTAACATGAAAACTGCAGGTAGGGCTTTGCATGTAGCAATGTGCTCTCCTGACATGGCAAGCCATGGATTCAGTCCCCAGCACTTACGTCCTCAAAGGATGAACCAAAAGCTCAGTCTGAAGCACTTCTTGCTAAGTACACTTAATAAGGCTCAAGAAAAGATGGAGATTGTACCAAGTCTTCAGAGCTTGAGCAGCTCCAGCTAGTGTTTCTAAAGCCCCTGGCCATGCAGAGGTTCTGGCTACCTGCCATTGTTGGTCCCTGAGATTCAGGGCCAGTTATGATAGTAACACTGCTTATGTGAAGATTTTGATGACTTTGTAGTAGGAATAGCTAAATTATTTAAACAGTGTAACTTCTATGAAATGTTACTTTTTTTCATTTATTTGTTTATTTTAGGGTGAATTCTGCTGCTTTACTAGGAAACCAATCTGTAGAAAATAAGTTTGGAAATGAACTTATGAAAATTTGTATCATATTAGCAAACCAGTAGCTTATTTAGAAATCTGTTTCCATTTTAAATGCCCCTCTTCATAATTCCTCTACCACCTATCTTATTCTGCAGTTCCTAATATCCTTCGAGACAGTAAGCTTAGAGAATACATCAGAAACTAACTTTGAAGAGATCAGTGTCTTTTCATAGAAATTTAAGATGAAATTGAGACTTCATTTATGATTATTTTCCTTTTTGACTGTCAAATAACATATCGGTAATCTAGACATAAGAAATGAGGTGATCATAAAGGTTTACGTTAGATAGTATTTTTGGTTCCTTCTTGCAGTGATTTCAGATGAAGTGGGAGCTGTGACTTTGCTTCTGTTCTTAGATTTGAGGAAAGGGAGGAGTCACTTTGGTTAGATTGATGACTTCCAAGAGATTTAAAGCAATTAAAGACCCTTCATGCAAGAATAATTGTGTGCCTGCCTTTCATCCTGTGCTCTGGGATTTGAACAATATATAGCTTTTGTTCTTTTTCTAAAAAGGTGTTGGAGCCCCTCCCAGTCCCGGGGTTGCTAGGAGAGAGATGGAAGGTAACAAGGTTTCTGCCTTATAGACACAGTTTTGTTGTAAGTGTCAGTCCCTCCAGCGTTTAAAGGCACACTAAGTCCTACCAGAAGCACCCTCCTTCTCCTTACGTAGACCTTGTACTTTTCTCTCTTGTCCTTCTGTGTTGTATGTGTAGTTTTCAGTGGTGATCCTTTTAATGTCCCTGAGGTTCTTGTGTTGTTCATAGCTAGTCCTGTGTAGTCAGGCTATGAAACTACTATTGAAGGAAGAGTGCCTTCATTTTTTTTTCTTGAATAAGTCACATGTTTAAAAATGTTCTTGATTAACCTGAAGTTTTATCAATTAGTAACTGTAAGGTCCTAGAATCTAGTATTTTATAGATTTTTTTTCTATAGCAGATGCTTCTAAAGATTTTGATATTGAGCTAGATTTTGCTTAAAAGACCACTAAAACTAGTGCCATTTTAAGACTATAATTATTTATGGGCTGTTGTATTTAATAGGACCATTTTACTTGAATTTCTTCTCAAAATTGAAATACTTAGATACTACTCTTTTTTATCCCCCAGAGTAATTATCTCTTCATCCAGAGGCTATCTTCCTAATGTGTTTGCATCATATTATAACACGGCTGTAAATATGTCTATTCAGGTCTTCTGTCTTGATCCTAATAGTCTATTGTAGAAATCTGAAAGGCCTCATCCTAAGATAACTTTATCAACAATCAGACCTCTAGTATGACACGCCAAGCTCTTAGGAGCTGTGGCTCAGGAGCCATTTGTCTGCCAAGCTATAAGGAACAGCTGACCAGGTCTTCAAGGTTCATGGGCAGAGGTCCGTGAAGACCATCACCTTAGCATGACTCCTTTTGTCTCCCATGCAGGTCTCTAATACTCCAGTTTCTGTCTTTACCCAGAGCATGGTGCTTGTTTTGTTGCTATCTCCTTTGTCTCTGTGGGTAGTGAACAGAGGAATCTGGTGATGCCATGAACTGTGGTTTTACTGTTTACTTATGATTGATTCTTTTTCCTTTCTACTTCAAAGCACCCAAAAGCCCTGGAACAGCACGGAAAGATAATATAGGTAAAAACACTTGAATGTAGTTACTTCCCCTTAAAACTGGACCATGCAATAGACACTGGGAATAGGAAGTACATGGCTTCTTATTTCTTTTTACTTTTTCTTTTTAACTTTCTTTCTTATACTTAAATACACAATGTGATGTCTTTGTTTCAGGGCGTAATCAACCTTCCCCTCAAGCAGGACTTGCAGGCCCAGGACCTACTGGATATGGTGCAGCGAGACCGGTAGGTAACACCTAGCCTGGGAGTTACGAGGGGTTTGTCCTAGGTTCCAGTTTGCAGTAGTCTGTTTGTTACCTTGGAGAGAATCAAAAGAAACTGCCAAGGCTTCAGTTGTTCAACTCTAAAATAAGGGAGCTGGTCATCTCCAAGCTACGTCTCAACTCAGCCTTTCTCATAGACTTCCAAGTGACTACACTAACTGGTTTGGATAAAAATAATGTACTTGACTATGGCCACTAAATAAAGATCTTGGTGTCTCTCAAAATATAAAGCATTAATTTAGATAATTATTTAGATAGCTGTTTATTGTTTAAGCTGTTTAATCAGTGGAAATATTAAGTTACCCTTCAAGCCAGGTGTAGTGGCACACAACTTTAATCCCAGCACTCAGGAGTCAGAGGCAAGTGGATCTCTCTGAGATTGAGGCCTGCATGGTCTACATAGTAAGTTTCTAGGACAGTCAGGACTATGTAGAGAGACCCTGTGTCTCCCTACCTAAAAGAAAATTATTTTTTAAGAACTTTGATTAGCATAAAATTGTAATAGAATACTTAAACTGTTTCTAAAGATACTATAAAATAAGAAGGGAAAGATGGTGTGTAAGATTCTTTTCAATATTTTATAAACCTATGGTTTTCTGTATGTTTATCATATGTTCTATCATATATATATATGATATAATATATAATATAATATATATGATGTAATATATATTATATAAATTCCATTATTCCTTCAAACAAAATTCCTCTGAGCTATAACAGATATCAGAAAGAAAAAAGATGGGCCATAGAGATGACTCAGTGGTAAAGTGCTTACTGTACAAGCCTGAGGACCTGCGTCACATCCTCACATAACCCATGCCATGATGGTAGGAAAGACCCAACAGTTTCCTGTGACATCTTGCACGTGCCATGCATGAATGCCTGCACGCACATACAAATAATTTTTTTTAAAGTGTAACTTAAGGCACTATAGTAGAAACTATATCTGAATAGTGGAGAACCTGGAACTGTCACCATGCTTAGATTATAGCTGTTTACTTAACAAATTAAAGGTCCTCTTCTACATGTAATTCTATTCTTTAAATTACAATGTCTATAGAATATACTTCAAGATAATTGTTACTTTCTCTCTACTGCCACACTGCCCCTGCACCTTGATAATGTAGGGACAGGGAAGGAAGTCAGGATTTTTGTGGAGTTAAAAGTTGTCGTATCAGCAGGCCTGGTGTCTGACATCTGAATCCCAGCATTTAAGTGGCTGAGGCTGGGAAACTGCTGCTGTGAGTCCAGGTCCACCGTGGTCTACATGGTGAGTTCCAGAGCAGCCTGGGACCACAGAGTGAGGCCTTTGCTTAAAAAATCCAGACCCAAACCTAAAACCTATACTAATTTCATCTTTAAATAAGTATATGGGCTTAGAGCCTTCACCAAACATACGTGAATAAAAATTCTGGCCTAATGTGGAATATTTAGTTAGACATTTAAGAATGTTATTTCATGTTTAAAACAATCTGGGAGAGGTTAATTCTGAAGTCTCTTAGTGTGTTAGGCTTATCTCCAATGTTTATGCTCTCAGAGTGTCCCATCTCTTCCTTAAGGTAGCACTGCTCACGGTCAAGTCCCTCATCTGTAGCTAGCCAGGCATGAGTTTATATCCAAATACTACATCCTCATTATGCATGTCTTCACCTTAATTTAAAATAAAGATGACAAAGTCATATATGAAGTTATTTTGAAGGTTAATAAAAATGTCTATATCATACAAGTGCCTAGTACACAGTACACTATTAAAAATAAAAAGGAAAGTATCATTGTTTAGCTACAAGTCAAGAACAATTAAAATGGCAAGGTGGGAAATTATACCAGAGAATCAATGAGACATGAAAGCATGTATTTTTCACAGAATCTAACTGTTGAAAATAGATTAATGTCACTAATATGTTTCTATCTATAGACAGTTCCAGCTCGTGCTGGAGTGATAAGTGCCCCACAGAGCCAGGCTCGGGCATCTGCTGGAAGGCTGACTCCTGAAAGCCAAAGCAAGCCCTCAGAGACATCGAAAGGTAGGTACTTTGGGACACACTCAGCTCTCTGGTTCTCCTTTTACTCTCTTTTTCCACCTTCCATAAAACCTAACTTATCCAAATGGGGATCTTCTCCCTTGTACCCCTAGAATTGAGGCTGTTTGCCATGGAAAGGGGCAACAACTAGAATACCTCTGCCCATTAACAAGAGAAAACCCAGGATGTTTAGAGCACAGCTAATGTGGGACAATCCTTGGTGTTTTAGGTCCTGCTGTCCTTCCAGAACCACTGAAGCCCCAGGCTGCATTTCCTCTGCAGCCTTCTCTGCCTGCACCTGCTCAAAAGTTACAAGACCCGCTTGTCCCCATAGCAGCACCTATGCCTCCCTCCGGCCCCCAACCAAATCTGGAAACCCCACCACAGCCCCCACCTCGGAGCAGGTCTTCTCAAAGCTTGCCTTCAGACTCCTCACCACACCTGCAAGTAAGTGTCACTGCTGGAGGAAGTGTCTCTGACGCACATGCTGCGTAGTGTGGAGCACACTTATTTTAATGACCAGCATAAGAGGAAATAGGAAATCTTATTTTCATCACTTGAAAGTAATAGCATCTTGAGATAACTTTAGTATCCTTTGATGCCTTAAGTGATTACATGCTACTGACTATTTGAGGATTTTAACTGTTTGTTTGTTTGTTTGTTTGTTTATATGCATTGCTTAAGTAAGAAAATCTCAGAGAGCAACAGGAGTTGTTAGGAGGTAATCTCAGGTTAGGAGGGAGAGGTAGGAGAATCATAAGTTCAAGGCCAGCCTGGTCTACATAGTAAGTTCCAGGCTAGCTAGAGCTAAACAGCCAAACAGTTCCAGTTCCCCTGATACTAGGATCGGGTTCTTTAGGAAATCCAAGTGCTTCCTCATGCTAATTTGTAACAGTTTAAATACATTGTTTGCTTTAGGCAGTTAGTTAATTAGGTGAACGATCATAATGGAGGCCTCTTATTGCTGAAGTGATGAGTTAGTTTGAGAGAGAGGCAAATCAAGATCAGCTCTGTGTGTAGACATTGGCCTCATGGCTGATTTCCTGCAGAGTGAATCTGCAGTGCCTCCTGACACTAACAGGGCTCTCCTCTGTGCTGAGCTGGCATTGGGTTCTGAGGTTGCAGTCAATACAGGAAGAGCTTAGGTTTGAGCTTTAAGCAGAAGGCTCATTGGCTCACACAAAAACCACAGAAGAGCACATCTATTCATTAATGTCTCGTAGAAAATTGTTCCATGGCCCTGACACGTTGAAGTCATGGGCGTTCCCACTGTCTCATATCTGCAGCACTGCTGTGTTAGGCTGTTGTGATAACTACTGTGATAACGACAAGTAAGCTAAATTGTTCTGTATTTACATTCTGTTTTAGTTTTGTTGTGTGCATTTAACTAAAGTTGATAAATTTAATAAGTACATTTTGCTGGCTCACAAATTCTTTACTTGAAAATGCCATCAAAGCTGAATTAGTGTGTAAAGTTTTAGAAGTCCGTGATTTAATCTGAAATATTGTATATTGGCAGTAGCCTTTGAACATAGTTTATGAGTAATTATTTGCATTTTTACAGATATATGGATATATCAAACTAGCTGGCAAACTATTTCAAGCATATATCTCTATTGCAAAGCAAATACTAAATAAAGTAGCTAAGACTCAAAAGCCATTAGCAGTTGACACTTGCCTAAGTTTTTGCTTGCATTCATGAAAGCTAAAGAAAACAATAGAAAAAAGTAAAATGTTCTCAGATGATGAAAACTGAAAGTTACTCTGTTTTAGGTTAAAGTAGTAGTGCTAAAGGTAGTTAGTAGAAACCCTACAAAGAGTAGATGTATACGACTCTATTTCTTCTTCTCCAACAATGAAGATTTATCTTGTACTGAAGGCTGAAGTCTTTCAAACTAGTCCTCTGAGGAGGAGTGTGATGCTGAGTGAGACAGGAAGGAAGCACTTCCTGCCGTTCCCTACCTTTTCAATTTGGAATCATAAGAGTAATCATGCTGTTAAAAAAATATATACAAATTTGAAAGTTTCTCCTAAGTAGCTGTAAGTTTAATAATGAGATTTTACTATACATTGAGTGTATGTGTGTATATATATATAATGTATTCATGTACATGCCACTGGCGAGAATTTTAATTGTGACAAGTTTAGTATTTTATTATTATTTATTGAGTTGTTATTTTGTTGACTATTATATTGTTTCAGAATTGAATGTTTGGTAATTACATAAGTCTTTATTAATCCAGGCCCAAGTCTGTGGTGTATCTAAAGCATAGAGACATGTGAGCCAGCTTTACTCTGTGTCACCTACTGCTCTTTAGCTTGAGAATATGCTGTCTAGCCTTTACATGGCGTAAGAGTGGCTCGCTGGTCTGTCATCTCACTGTGAGCTAAAATCTAGAAAGAGGGGAACGAGACAGACAGCACAGGGACAGACCTGCACAGGAAGTGTCTGTAGGAGTGCTGAGATCAAGCATCACTCTAATGCATGTCAGTGGCAGGACAGTGGCATGTCACATCCTTGGTTGTCAAGATGGTGGGGACTGAAGTCACAGAGCATCATGTTACCATTGTATGTCAGTGGTAGGACATTAGCCACACATGCAGAACCTGGGTCATCCCGAGTACTGGGGAAGGACTAGGAGGGGTAAGGGAGGGGAGATGCTAAAGTGTGTAATATTTTTCTAAGTTGTCAAGGTTTGTTTACTACTTATACCTTACCCTGTTTACAAATAAGCTTCAGTGTTAGAAGGTCCAATTTCTTAAGAACACCAGATTGTTTTAAATATAGTCAAATTATTGAAAGGCTATAATTTAAGATTTAAACACCAAAAAATTAGCTTCTTACCTTGTACTTTCCAACTAATAAACAGTAAGGGAATTAATTTTCTAAATCCTTTAGAAAATTTGAGTATCGCAGAGCAAGCCTCGATCCTGATGCTTTGTAATGATGAATGTGAAGTTGTACTTCTACAAACTGGAATTATGTACATTTTCTCTATCCTTCCGGGTCTCAAATATGGAATAACAAAACTGGCTAGTCATCAACCGAAACTCTGTTAAAGCATACATCATAAGGTTACAAAGAGATCAGAATTGTGTTGTAACTGACAGTATCACCTGCAAGTGTTACTGCTCTTGAGCCCCACCTGTGACCTAGGGCCACAAGCTTTCTGAGGACTGACCTGTCGGGGCTGCAGCTTGGTCTGGAATTGTCCTAACTCTTTCCTTTGATGTCTGTGTTCCTTTTCTCGAAGCAGGAGCAACCAACAGGGTAACAGGTACCTGACTCTTATCAGCCTTCCATGTGCTTTCCATCTGTCTCCCCGTGCATTAGATGTATGAGTCTGCTTCATACATCTCACCCGTCTAAATCCACTCGTCCACATTAATAACTTCTAGTATCATATCGTAAGCTCATATCTGCATTTTTTTTTTCTTAGTACTTTGGGTTTTTAGAAGCCATATTAGTTCTTGCTAATGCCTTTCTATTTTTTTTTTGCTTTGTCTTCTATGAAAATTAACAAAACTAAAAAGTATAACTTCAAAAATGACAACTATTTGTATATGATATAACTGCATAAATGGGAAAACCCAATTGTTTTTTTCCTTAGGCTTCTTTAGAGAAATATTTTTTTCTGATAATTTTAGAAGCCAGATTCTTTTTGGTAAGAAAGAATTGGTAATTTAGATTAAAATTAATAATATTTTAAAGCCCTTCCAGCACCGTTCTCTGTAAAAGCACTACTGATATCATCACAAGTTTCCAAATCTTGCTTCAATCGTAAGTTAATTCTGAGGTGAGAGATGGTAATATGGGTCTCACTGTAATTGGTAGTCGGATTTCATCTGAGCCCTGTTCAGCCCAGTGACTGGCCTCTATGAACCAGCTTCGTGGTGAACAAAGGGATTTAGAAAGAAGTGCAGATTTTTATGTCCATGAAGTTAACTCTGAACATTCTTCCCATGGCCAGCACACTCAGTCACCACCTTCTTCTTCTTCTTCTTCTTCTTCTTCTTCTTCTTCTTCTTCTTCTTCTTCTCCTTCTCCTTCTCCTTCTCCTTCTCCTTCTCCTTCTCCTTCT